GATGCCGTGATTGCGTTGAATGCTGGGCTCGGAAGCTACCCGTCTTGGAATTTGACAATCATTCGGCTGCTTCGACTCGGCTGTCCCTGGGCTGTGAGTGATCAGACCAAGTTGACGCTGAAATTCGTAGACGTCGAGATACTCCCTCGGTTGGTGAAAGGCTACAACTTGGAATCCCCGAACAGCTTGGATATCAAGCTCAACCCCTTCCATGGCATTGTCAATCGTGATGTTGCGGCCGTCCTGGTTCCCAACATCAACAACGGCTACATTCTGACGTGCAATTATGACAAGTAACACCGGTGCCAAGGGGCAGTTGCCGTGGGCTACTTCTGTTGTCCTGGTACCGGTAGGTAGAAAGATGTTTTCGGCACCATGATGACCGTTATTTAGTGACTCTTGGCGTTCCCCAAAGCCAAGGATTGATCCATTTACTCCCACAATCGTTCAACGAGAGAACCTAGACTACATGTATCCATTATGGCACCCCGTCTGCCAAATTGTTAGCCTCCATAGGGAATTCATTAGCCGGTTGTCCCGCAGTAGGATTAACAGTTTCCCCACCATAGTTCCAGAGCAATGCCGTGTCATCCCAGGGATCCACAATAGGTATTCCGTTAGAACAGTCAACGGGAGAATAGAGACTCGGATCGAAATTGAGTTGGGAATCGAATGGATCGCTTGCATTGCTGCATTCACATCTTTGCTTTGCGGAGTTACAGAGGACTTGATTTGCAAAACCAGCATATTGTCGGCAAAATCCATTGCTTCGGCAAAAGAAAAGCTCTTCGTTATTCACTTTCGCCCCACAAGATGTCCCATTTGGATTTGCAGAGCAGCACCATTGACTTGTGTCAGGTACAAAGAAATCGTCATCCACAGAAACAGAAACAGGAATAGGAAAGCCCGTCCCATTATAGCAACCACCCGAAGCTTTAGACATCTCAGTGTAGCTACCAGTCATGTTACACGTGGTAGCGCTTGGAAGTGAACATTTTTAAAGCTTGTTTGAGCACCAGCATAACAAATGAAACCCAGAAAAGCAATGCATGGGAAACTTACTTTTGGATGAAATCAGGGCAAACGCAAGCATTGGCTTGACACTTGCTGTACTGCCCATCACATTCAGTGTCTTTCCTCTGGTCAGTTAATAAAGACACACAACATGTTAGTGGACATTGAGTAAAAAGGCCAAAGAGGGAGCAGTATAAGATTTCACTGACACAGTCCGCACAATCCAGCACAGCAGTTGTATAACTCTTGCCAAAGGTCACGAAGCTGTAACGTGGATTTGCACTGGAGTCAATGCTGCTGTTAGCAAGCACATAGTATGCCTTTGCAAGATTCGCCACTACAGTCTCATCAAAACTGTGGAAGGAATCGGTACCTTCAGACTGCACAGATGGACGGGGAATAATGCCCATAGCCATCAATACATCCACAGAACCACGATCCAGGAGAACACTTTTGAAATCTTGCAGTGAAATGGCTGAGAGAAGCTGGCTTTCATCGTTCACAACGAGCCTCCATCTTTGTCCACTGTAGATGACAAAAGCATCAACCACCTCAGTTACTCCACTTTCAGTACTTTTGTTGTAGGAGGCAACATAAACACTTCTCCCATAAGCTTGCTTCTCTGGTAACAAGTGGAGTGTCCCAATGGAACTGAGGAGGCGAACAGTGTTTCGCTTTCCTTCATCTTCAATCTTCATGAACCCCCTGCTGCCACCTGTCGAATCAAGACCAAGGGACAAGCACCTCACTTCCTCTTCACAGTTCCAGCCAGTCCTTGGTGTGCCTTCACCATCATTACAAATGCAGTAGTTGTCTTGACAAGTGCCATGTTGACAAAGGTCTTCAGAGCAATCATTGCAATGCAGCACAATCTGACTGGTTGCATCAAACCTGCCCAACTGATCGTTCCAATAAACCCATTGATCAAAAGCCACTTTCATAACATCAAATTCAGTTGTTGTAGTGGACATGTACTTTATTTCATCGCATGGGTCGCTGCTTGTGGCAGTGGTTGAGACCGTCCATGCCTTTTGTACGTTGCAGTAGCCCAAAATGAGAAATCCGGATCTGTCAGCATACCAAGTTCTGTGGTGTTTCCTGTCAAAGAGGGGGATGCCCTGACTTTCAAATTCACTGCTGAAATAGGATAGAGCAGTGAGATGATTGCTTCCTTCAACAGTGCCCAACCCACTCTCGATGAATTCATTGTCTCCCTCGCCAAACTCAATGAGGATCTTCTTGCACAGAAATCGACCATCAAGCTGCTGGCCTACCAGTACAAAGAAAGGAACCAGGAGCCCCACCAGAATGACAATCAAGGCAACCCTCTTCCAGCATGTACGGTATCTTACATACTCTGGAGATACCCCCTGTTTAAGATTGGATATTTTGTTGCAATCCTCTTGTACTTGGTTGACAAACAGGCCCATGGTGGCAATTTTAAAGCTAATGTCGTCCACTTCCTGCAAAAAGTGCAAGGCCGTCAGGTTGAGGACCAAATCAATCACAGTTCTGGCTTTCACTGCTAGGATGAATGAGTCTACCAGCATGATGATACCGACACAAGTTTGAAACGATCCAGTCAAGAGCCTGGATTGCAAAATGTAGATACGGAGGATTGAGCAGTTTTTGCGAAATCTACTTGCCTTCCAGCAACACGACTGTCCCTTACCAGCGAATAAAAGTGGCGTTTGGCATCTCTTCTTGGATATCGGGATTGTACCCTTCACAGAGCTGTGTCAAGCCAACGATGATATCTCCACTTGTTGCCGTGATCATGACTGTTAAAATCAAACCTATATAGCAATTGGCAAAGCAAAATAACCCATCCGATCATTGGCCAATGAATTGTGAGTGAACCACTTATACGCATGCTTCTACTGAGGGGTCCATGATGTGGATACCTTACGTACCGAGGCACTGGGCAAATACGACAGTAAAGGGAGGAAGTTCCGGCACTCCGAGAGGGTTGAGGGGGTCTGTTGGTTTTATTCAAAGTCAGAACCAAAAGTGGTCAGGCCGTGCTGTCATCATTTTCACGCCTTTTCAAAAAAGGGATCCGGGATCCGGTATCCCGGTAGCCAAGATACTACAGTACCGTGCATTACTCACTAGAGACATCAATCATGTCCACAAGAGTCAACAAGAGCATTGTAGTTTGAAGGGACACAACAGAAAAGGCAAACAGTGTGGTTTGACTGAACAGATCAGCTGCACACAATGTGAGAAAGCATCAAGTGATGCACGGCCGATGAGAGTGACCGTATGTCATGATACTGTAACGTACAGATGTAGAGCAAGGAGTAGGCATCTTCGGTAAGAGCTTGTTCCACTACCTCATCCTCTTGGTCTTTGCAGTCGTCATCCTCGTAGTCGTTGCCCTCGAACTTGTCGTGGGTAGCTAGTGGGTCGTAGGATTGCGGAAATCCATCCAATCTTTCGCCACCCTCAAGGGTCTCGCTACTCGTATTCATACGCTCAGGCTGCTCTCTGACTTGCAACATCCTGATCGTTTCCTCTTGCAGCAACGTGCTTATCTAGCTAGCTAGCCAGAGCGGAGGATTTGGAGGATGGGCACAGCGGGGAGAAGCTCCTGTTGGATTTGTTGGAGGTTGGAGGTACCAGTACGAGCGAGAGCTGAAGAAAAATGCTTTCGCAACGCTTTAGTAGGCGAAGAACAACCAAGAAGGTCCGTGTCATTCTGGATCTTTGAACTGACACCAATCGAACAACAATCCGTCCCTATCGAATATTCGATATGTTGGGTCTCATAACCCAACCTTTTACCCCGTAACCCACACGAAACTCAATCCCTTGAGAACCAATCAAACAGCCTCATTCGTGCTTCCAATGCAAAGTGAGAAAAAATGAAACAGCCAGTCTCGCTCAACCCAATTATGCATAGTTTCCCACAACCATAGACTATTTAGTATTTTTTTGTTTAGACTACCTCCTTTGTCTTCTTTTCCCACCATGACAAGCTCTGTTCCATCCTCCTCCTCCACCACCACCACTACGACGACCACCAAGAGAATGTCCGATGCAGCAGCTGCTGCTGCTACGGCTGCTGCTACTGCTGCTGCCAAGGGCGGAATTGCTTGGGGTGGATCACTAGTGGGTTCCAAGAATCCTCACAACTTGGGGTATCGGTATTCTACCCCTCACAAGCGATTTCGAGCGGCTGGAGCCAGTGACGATGGATCTAACGACAAATTGGATTTGCCGACCAATGTGGTGGTGCAATTTTCGAATCGACAAGGCGAAGAATTGGCGGATGTTCTGGATTTGCCCACCAATTCTACCATGGACGACTTGAATGCTCTCTTGCATTCTCTATTGAATGATACAGACCGTGACAACAATAAGCGCATTCCTTATTCCTTCTATGCCAAATTACCTCATTCCAAAGAACACCCAGAACTACTGGAAGATGTGGAAATCACCACGGAATCATTGGCTACCTTTTTACTGGAACACCAAGTCAGTACCGAACAAACTCTGCAAATCACGTATCAGCCCATGGCGGTTTTTCGCGTGCGACCCATCACTCGTTGTACCGATACGCTCCCGGGACACACCGAAGCCGTCTTGCACGTGTCATACTCACCCAATGGACGTCATTTGGCGTCGGGAGGCGGTGATACCACGGTCCGATTTTGGGATGTCCACACCAACTTGCCCAAGTATACCTGCCGCAAACACAAGGATCACGTTCTCTGTACGGCATGGAGTCCCGATGGCACCAAATTTGCCTCGGTCGACAAAAGGGGCGTCTTGATTCTATGGAATCCACAAACGGGAGAGTCCATTGGAGCACCCATTCAGGCACACAAACAATGGATCACGTCCTTGGCGTGGGAACCACTCCATTGCAATAAATCCTGCGATCGAATCGTCACGGCCGGAAAAGATGGAACCGCCAAAGTCTGGAATGTCCGAACGCGCAAACACATCAAGACACTTGCCGGGCACACCGACTCGATTGAATGCGTCAAATGGGGCGGAGAAAACTTGATTTACACCGCGTCCCGCGATCGAACCATCAAGGTATGGAATGCCACACAGGATGTGAATCGTCTTGGAATACTCGTGCGGACGCTCAAGGGACACGGACATCGTGTCAATACATTGGCCCTGAGTTCCGATTACATTTGTCGCACCGGGCCGTTTGATCCCAATGACAAGAAACTCTTGCTCCAAAAGGATAACCACGATTCCGATAAACTCTACGAATTGGCCAAGGCACGGTACCAGGAATTCCAACAATCCTCCTGTCCCCAAGAAACACTCGTATCGGGGAGTGACGATTACACCCTCTTTGTCTGGAATCCCGTCACATCCAAACATCCTCTCAAACGATTGACCGGACATCAGAATTTGATCAATCATATTTCCTTTAGTCCGGACGGTCGCTTTTTTGCGTCGGCATCCTTTGACAAGAAAGTCAAACTCTGGAATGGATTGACGGGAGAATTCCTCGTGACATTGACGGGACATGTCGGAGCCGTCTATCAAGTGGCGTGGAGTGCCGATTCCCAATACATTGTCAGTGCCAGTGCCGATTCCACGGCCAAATTGTGGAATGCCGCCAAATCCAAAAAACAAGCCATCGAAACGTTGCCCGGACATGCCGATCAAGTCTTTGCACTCGATTGGAGTCCCAATGGCGCCAGTGTCGCCACGGGAAGCAAAGATCGAACTCTCAAAATATGGAAGCATTAGTTAATAGAACGAAGCTATCTAAGGATACCGTACCCTAACTAACCAGTATTGTTTTATAGAACTTTTATCATGCATGAGAAAAATCAAAGAGTCTCGTAGGTAGAGTTTCGGGGCGTGTGCCTATTATGTGGTCCCCGGCCCGTTGTCTGCTTGGCTATGAGAGCCTTCCTCCAATAAACCTCCTCTTCGCTCTCCGACCTGGTGCCCACGATTTGGCCCGATTGCAACCTGAGCGCCGATTCCCATCAGGCAACCAAAGCCAGAGAAGCGTGTTGCACGTGCTGCCTGGCATGTTGCAGCCGTGTCAAACCATCAATAACAGGAATGCTACGTAGCTCACCAGCTTGGGGGTCAGATATAGCTAAATCTCATCAGGTCGTGGCTACGTTTAGGAAGCAACCAAGCAAGGAGCCAACCAACTTCCAGTGGCGTAGTTGGCCAAATTTTCTGTGAGGTTTGCCTGCTTTCAGCACACTTCAACGCAACTCGAACCGGTTTACCAATCTTGTCAATGTTTTTGGACAACACAACACAAGACTAGTTGTCCCAGAGAAAGAAACAACAGCTCCATCAGGAACAGGATGGAAGCTCGGAATCAGCCAGTGAGGAGGGCACCGTGGCAAACCAGCAGCTAACCATGCAGCCGCCTATTCGTCGTCCACCGCAGCCGAAAAGCCGATCGGTTGAGGGAAGCCGTGTTGCTGGCACTTGCTAGCTAGAAGCTAGATGAAGCTAGCTACTGGTAGCCCAGTTGTGCAAAATTATTATCAATTTAGGAGGCAGTATTACATGAAACCGGGCATGGGGTAGAGCTGAGGGCCCGAACTTGATCCATAGTTCAAACTGTTTCTTCTGTGGACTGACCGAGGGATGGTGGGCTCGATGTTTCGGGAGTACATTTCTTTGTAATTTCCGACAGCTAGAACAATATCTCGAAACATCCGTTGAAAGCCTTCACCAAAAGCATAAATCAAGGGCATCTTTGTTGAGTTGGTCTGGCCAATTCCTTCTTGCTCGGCATAGATGGTGCAGCCAACAACCCAGTACAAGTAAGTTGACCATACTTGATCATCCTGCATCGAAGCAAGGCAAAGGTTGTCCTCTTCCTCACCGTACCCATAAAAGTAGGGTTGTGAAAAGGCAAAGCCAATTCCTGTGCCAGGTTCTTTCACATCATTGGCAAGATTCCAAGTTGCACCAGCAACCACATCAACCCCACCGGCAGCAAGCTTAACGTAGCCATCACTGGGGTCACTTGAATTCAGCTCGATGTAGTCTACAGCTTCAGTATCACCACCAAACATACTGGCTGCAACAGCCCTGCAAAAATCAACGTCCATCCCAGCAAATGTGGGGACCGTGCCATTGTCATTTTTACCAGTAGCAAAGCCAGGCCGGCCCAACCGGACACCACAGAACAGCCGCCCACGTTCCAGAACTCGTTGAATATTGTGGCCAAGAGTAAAATTTGACCAAAGCTTTTGGGTTCCCAGTGGTGCGGCGAACAAAAGTCCAGCATTACCATTGTTGATAGTGTTCACTGCTTCCCGTGGGATGGCCTCTTGCAGATGCTCCTCATATATCTCTGCAAAGTTTCCAACCGCCCCAATTGCGTTTCGGAACATATCCCTGAAGTCTTCGCCGAAGACATCAGTCTGAGGAAACAGGCGAGCTGTTGCTTTGGTGATACCGTGCAATTCAGCAGAGACTAAGGACTGGACCACAGCATTGACAAAGTCATCCCAAACTGGGTCACCTTTAAACGTCCCAAGCCCAATAGGCTCTTTGTTGAAAACAGCACCACTGGTAGTAAAGTTCCCTTTGTAGCCATATTGGTTCAGGACAACATCCCTGGCCCGTTCCCCCGCAGAATGGATGATCAGGTTACATGATGCATTGACAAACATGGGATAGGCATCTGTGTAAAACTGGATCTTGTGGATGCGCCGATCTGGAATGACCCTCGAAAGAAATGTGTAGTACGATGAGCCCATGTTGGTGCAAATAGACAAGTCTTTGCATTCTTGCGTATGCTTGAAGCCCTTGTCAACAAAGCATTCCACAAAGAAAGGATTGCCAGATATGTAAGCTCCCTCAAAAGAATATGGTTGGGTGAAGGACAGTCCAAACTTGAGGAAATGCTGGTTTGTGATGGGAAGCACAGGCGTGAGAGCATTTTCAAAGAACCATGCTAGAACAAAAAGTACGCCATCAACGCACCTCGTAAGTATGCCGTTCCATGGTGTAACCAATACCTGTAAAAATTTGTGAGAGTCCCCTTCCAGTCCGAACTGGAGTTAGATCCACCCATTCAATCCTGGGGAAGGTTTCATTGAAATCCTTATATTTCTCTTCGAACATTGTGCCAACAGTGGCATTGACAGTCCACAGCTTGTTGCGACCACTAAATCCAGATGGTAGACGATCAGCCCCAAAGATGGCAGACCCAATGGCTCGGCACTGCATCAAATGCGGAAGCACATGGAAACCTGTCAGAATGACTTCAGTGACGGTGTGCCAAAAGCAAAACAGGAGGGACATTTATATTGTCTTACCATAACAGTATGAATACCATCAGCATCACCAGTGGTTGAATTGGCAAACATGTATCCTGCTATTGGCATGAAAGGGCAGTGTAGTATTCCCTCGGACTTTATTTTCCTGAGTGTCTTGGAAAATCGCAAGTTGTTGGCAATGTCCACTGCCGTGTCATTAACATCAGCAAGATTTGAGGAACCGTTTGCTGTGCCAGACTCTGCCTTGCCAGACTCGTCATCTGTCTTGCTGCCAAAGGCTCCTGCCAATGCCATCACAATGACAACAATCACAGCCAGCAATAGCAATACGCCCACAAAGGCCACGACTTTTCTTTTTTTTGCGTTTTCTTGGTTTCTGTTGTCATCATCGTCAGGGCTTGCATGGACAACCAGTTCTCCGACGGTTTGATGGTGACTGCCGCCATTGGTGCGATTTTGATTCTCTGCAGGCGACAAAAAAGCGGTGACCGTAGTGGTTGAATTTGGATTGTCGGCAGTAGGATTGGGAGCAGCAGCCTCGTCGCCCGGCAATTCGTTTCCAGAAGAAGCTGCTGTAGATAGTCGCCCAGGAACAGCATAGGCCCCGGGTGCTGCTTCCGTCAGCATTCTGCTGGGCAGTTCAACTTCAGACCTGGCGACCTCCAAGACGGTGTCATCGTTTTCGCCTCGGGTTTCGTTTCTAGCATCTGTGTTTGATATGGCAACAGGTTTTGTATTTTCCTGGACTTTCTGGTCAAGGATGTTGACTAGAGTCTTGAAGGCCTCATCTTTTTGTGTACCTTCTGCGACCACAGGGGTGTTTGCGGCCCTCTCCTGCTCAGAGGAGGAATATTCGGTCCTGCCAGTAGTCCCATGCTCCTCGCCCGATCCTTTCAATTTGTTGCTTGGATTGTCACTCATGGTTTGCTCGAGCCTTCCTGTTTGCCTAGTAGACTAATTGGTTTGGTAATACTGGATTGGATTGCTCGAGGAAGGAAAGACAGAAAGATCAGAGGGAACCAAAAAAGGATTTCGAGAGGCGACGCTGCGGATCCAGGAACAAATAATGAAGTTCAAGCAGTCCAGTGAGAACTTCCCAAGAAACCAGCAACCGGGACAAGAGCATTGATATATCTAGGCAGTTTGGGTAAATCTTGTGCTACGGTAGCTTTTGATTCAAAACTCAAAGGTACAAATGGAGTGTTATGGTTACCGCACCTCCCGGCAAAAGATCTAAGCTGCGAGCTGCCTGTTGTAACTCCTAAATAATGGGGGTTGGCTCAGTGCGGGAACGCTGGGACTGAACCCCAACAAGCAGTCATCTTTTGCGCCCCTCCATCCTTCCATCACTTTTCTTTTTCGCGCACCGTTTTTGTTTTCGCCTTCGTCGGAGTTTCCACCCTAACGCTCCAGAACTGACCATGATGATGTTTTGTGTATTTCACTTCTAATCTTGACTTGGTTGGACCCTCTACATGTACCGGTACTACTAGTAGCTACCGGTAGCACGCCGGCAAGTAAACGGACATCAAGATCCAAACAGGATACCGAACATGTTCTTTATCCACTGAATACTATACTGCTAGTAGATTCCATTACAATCATTCCCCATTCAAACATATCATTGCCAAGCCTTCTGATGATGACATATTATTGCTTTCGGTCCTCTTCCAGAAAGGCCAGTCCGAAAAGGTCGTTGTCGCTCGTCTCACGTTGAGCTTTTTGCTTCGTGGGGATCTGACATTCTTCGTCGTTGTTGTCCTCAACAGCCATCACTTCGTTTCTCCTGTGCAAAGTTCTTTTTGAGCAGTATCCACCAATATCCACCATCCAGTAGCTGTCTTCAGAAAGAAGGAGCTGCGTTTGGGAGGGAGAAGGCGACCAAGTGATGTTGCTGCTTCCCGTGCTTGGTCGGGAAGGGCGTCGCGAGGGGGAAAGAGGAGGCCTGGCATCATGGTTGCTGCTGGCAATGCTGCTTCGCTGCGATGGTCTGCCTCGTACCTTGCGAGGTTCTCGGGATGTGCTTTGGGCTGCCATGTTGCGTGCTGTGGGTATTCGTTGTTGTTTGAGTTTGATTTTGTGGTTTTGTTGTTCTGAGATCTGAGATCGTCAAGGAATAATGAGACTCTTGCAAGTGGCGATTGGCGGAGCCTGGGAGTGGTACGGTACCAGGTACCGGATCTTTTGGACGACTAAACTCCGATCAATCTTGTCAAGATTGCTGCGACGACTGGCCAAAATTGACCACATTCCCCGTGATGACGTGGTTGCTCCTGAAGAGTTAAGGAATCAATTCAGGATCGGCACTGTGACCGTGCCCCGTAGCCTGTCCCACTTTGCACCTTGCATGCAGCACTCAAGCTGCCCAAACTCTAACCGGTATCCAAGTGCGGGCGTTGGTGCTGGTTTCGCTCAAATTTGGTTGTTGCTTCTGGCCAGTGACATCTATCAGTGATCTGTTGGTTTCCTCGCGAAATAGTGAAAGGTCCTTGCATGCACGGGTACCAGTAGCAAAGGCAAGACGCACACCCCACTGCCTCACGATTCGGAGGTCCCTGTAGCTGCCGGTATCATTGGGTGTTCCGATGAGGCTACGGTTCCTACATGTATTGGGGCACGTTCCGGACGTGGCTCTGATACGGTGACTCTTTTAAGTTCACTCTGAAGAATGCGTTTTTCGTCGACGTGTGTGTAGGTTGTTGCCATAGTTAACAGTCCTCGTCTGATGGCACCTCGCGGCTTTCCACGCAACTATCTAAAGGAAAGGTGCTGGTGAATCAATCCGGCCTTTGGGGCGGCTCGCGGAGTGGTCTGAAGCATCACACGAGATAGTGTACGTACGTCGCTTCTCTGAGGGGAAATTGGCGATGATCGTTCTCCTCGGGCCAGAAACATGGGCTCTTTGGGCAGAAAGCTAACTAGCGACGTTTGAATAGAACATCTTTATCCCTGACGATGCCTTTATGGGTAATCGTTCGTTGCTGCTCGATATCAAGTAATAATTCAGCCACCAACGGGATTCTCGGTGGTGGCTGCCTCAGACTGTCACGAGTTGAGTTGGGAAAGCACTGATCTACCAGTCTCCTCTGTGACGATAACAACATAGTCTTTACAATTGCTCTACTGATTGTGATTATTTGTTCTGAAACTGGGCGTCTTTTGTTGCGTTTGGCGTGTCTGAATTAATGTCTGAATTAAGAGATGAGGACCATACTCAGCCCAATCACCACTGTGGCGAGAATGGATGCGCTTTGCCACAAAGAACGCGTTGCTGCAGATGCTGTAGATGTGGATGCGGATCCAGTCGTCTCGCCACATGTGTTGGTTTCACAGTCACGACCCCGGCTGTAAGACGAGTCAGTTTGGATAACGGTTTGTGTACATTTCACCTCACAAGTAGGAGCTGTGCACGCAATCTCTGCTGCTGTGGTTGCAGAGATAGAAGGATCCTCCTTGCAAGGACTTCCAAAGAACTCATCATACTCAACGGCAGCACAAGACGTAGATGTCGTGATGTCCTTGTCTTCGTCATCATCACTTCCGAAGCCGGTAAACTCTAGTCCAAGAATTTGGCCGGCCACTGTAAGTGTTCCCGATTGCATGTAGGATCCTTCCACAACGTCTCCTCCGATAATCGTCACTTCTCCACCCGTTAGCTGCAACAAAACAGGGGCACTATCAACCACTTGAACAACGCAATCTATGCAGTCCACAGTTAGGTTCCAAGGCATCCCATTGCTTGGCTTGACTTCCTTAATGAGAACGTTGGCGGCACCTTCGATCTCAATGTCTGCAAGACTGGTGAAACCAGGAGCGACTTGAACGTCATCATTTCCATCCACAAGGAGTCTTTTCAATTGATCTGCCGGGAACTGAACGTTGATGCCAGCTTGTTCGTTGGGGACATACGAGTCATTGTATTCCATGAATGTCACTGCCACTGCGTCGCTGCCTTCTCCGACCGACGCAACCTCTGCCAAGATTGCAAAATTTGGAATAGCAGTTACATTCACGGTATCCTCCGTGGTTGGTTCAATGGAAATGGGCATTCGGTAGTTAGTGCGAAGGGTAACATTCTTACTCCTTGGCCAGTTTCGTTTCGATTCAATGCTGGTGATCGAACCATCTTGAGTCGAAAGGATACTTTGCGTATTTACAGACCCTTTGCATGAAGCTGATTCGCCCAATGACGAAACCAAGGCCATCATGGTCATCAGCAGTGCGGTAGTAATAGAAGTCATCTTCCAAATGTTTTGTTGTGTTTTTGGTTAGGGGAAAGTGTCAGGAAGGTTGTTACCAGTAAGATTCTTGAAGTTTGTGTGAGATGTGAGAGACACCGACTGCTGGCAAGTACCAGTACCGGTACCTGGTACATCGTACCGGTTCAGGTGAAGTCATTGTTGAAGGAAGCATGACTTGAAAGATTCCAGTCATTGTTGTGACAGACAGCGCGCACGGCTCTACTGGTACAGCAGCACCTGGTACTCTAGTACGGACCTACCGAAATCAGCTGAAATCTGACATGCACGAGTTGAGAGCTGCTATGGCAGTCAGGACCGTAGCGTACCTGGACTGCAATGGCAAAGGAAGCTTCGTTTGCACCCAGGTGTGCTACCAAACCAAGCCATATAGGCCATCAAAAATAAGTACGACTGTACATGTACTTATGCATGGCAGTTGGAAAGCTCCAGCAAGATCAACCCCCGCGTTGCATAGCCAGTAGCAATCAATACTCAAGACATGCAGGTCTCCCTTCAGTGTTCAGAGCGAGCCCTTCATTCCACGCCATGGCCAATAGATGTACCACTAGGACAACGTCCTTCCTTCTTCGAATTGGGGGTGGTGCACTGAAACCGGTGAGTCATTCTGGAATTGCATGGTCTCAGCCTCAGGAAGCAACTTGCTTGCCGCTCACAATACCGTAGTCCTCAAACCAGCCGCCAGACACGACATTTCGCAATAGCTGCGCTTGGCAAGCTCCTTGAATGATTGGCTAGAGGGCGTAGTTTTCTCTCCGCTTCCAAGCAGGTCGAATATAAAACTCAAGGAGCTTTTGAGTGCGCCACTGTCAAGATTAGCTCTACATGTACTAGGTACGGAACAGACCAACCTTCAAAGCATCATCGCTAACACAAACAGTTTCCTACAGTGTGAAGAATGGCTTGCTTCTGTATCAGACCTCTGTACTCTTGCGGGTGGAAAAATTGGGATTCTGAGGCCGCCAGATCGAACTCTCCGTGAAAGCTGAGTCCATTACGCCACAGAGGAAGCAATGGTGTGCTTGAGAGATGATAGCGAGTGGGCAAGACGAGGGATGGAACAAGCTTGGCTGAAGAAACAGAACATTCTGTCGCGGCAAACATGCTACGCATACGTCAAGCACCCTGATTCTCTTCACAGATGAAACAATACCAGGTAACGGCTGGTTAGCTAAGCTAGAAGTAGCTAGTAGCTCCCATCGCTGTTAGTTCGAGGAAGGGAAGACACAAGGCCCTTGCATTTGACTGATAGAATTTTTTGGTGAGCCGATGCTTCCGTCTTTCGGTTGAAATGAAGCCTACTAGTTAGCAGTACAGCTACCGGTGCTCTGGTGAAGGCGGGTTACCAAGTTGCTCATTTAGTTTGGCAATCAGGTTCGCGATCCTAACCCGCCCACAAACCATATTAGATTCTTCCATCATGAGACCCAGGTGATCTGAGAACTTGGGAATTCTGGAAGAAAAATGAAGCTACTAGTTTGACATAAGATAATGCCTGCTACATGGCTGTCACCACTACAACCATCACATGGCTGTGATAAGCAAAGAATGTAGACAACTCTAGATATTTAGTTTGGTTGTGTGGGTGCCATATTGGTTGAGTTCATCCTGTAGTCATCCTGTGGTGCTTTTCACATCAACTTGTGGCTTGTGTGAGCCAAGGAAATCAGCATTTCCGGATTAATCTTAATGAAAAGGTTTTTAAACGACCTGATTTATCATATTTTGACATTATGTAGATTGTTTTGACACTTACAGTGCAATTTTCAATTTTGTACAGGCTGGTTTCACTGTGTCCGCCGCAAAGAACTGGGTGGAACATTCAGTGAGAATATTCTCACTGTTGGATGGTTCCTAGCTACTAGCTAGAGCATTACATAATTATGGCTTTACACATAAAGCGAACTTTAATATATATTATACGTTCCGGATATAATGAGAAGGTGTGACGTCAGAGAGGATCGCCAGACAGCAATATGGTTTCTTAACACCGAAACTCGCTGTAGCGTACCCCTTCCGAATCCACGTTTTTGAGAGTTCGCTGACGAATAAGACCAGCGATGAATACTTCCATCCACATCTCGCGAAACATCTCGCGAAACAGAAGCACAATGACACAACCCGACTGTTCAGTACTCTGGGGAGACATGACCGTCATCTGAATACTCCTCTTCACCATCGTCCTCCTCTTCACCATCGTCCTCCTCTTCATCGTCTTGCTCTTCTTCGTCGTCTTCATCCTGGGCAGAGGCTTGACTGCAATGATCCTGGAACTGTTGCGTTTCACTTTCTTCCTCACTTTCTTCCTCAGGACTACCGGGGTCAGGACTACGGGTATCAGGTAGAAGACGGCGACGAACAGCTTGCTTGACAACTTTCCGACGACGCCGATCAAGCGGACCAGAAGACTTGGTACTCGCAGTGTTGGACGAAGAAAGGGGAGAATTGTAAAGGGGAGAATTGTCGGCAAGAGGACTCTTCAAGCGGGTAATCCCCACAGGAGCACGAGAAACTTTCTTCTTTGCAGCTTGCTTAGCATCCACATCAATGGCCTTTTCAGAAGTCTTTCCAGAGGAGTCATCACTGACAGAGGAAGAAATTTCAAGTGGCTGTTCAGCTGTTCCCAAACTCTCTGGAGATCCGTTGGCTTCGCGGCTCCTAGACTTGGTGATGACCAAGGCTGTTTCGAAGTGGTTGTCATCAGCAGTATTGATGGGTGCACGCTTACGGCCACCTTCAGTGGGTGCACGCTTACGACCACCTTCAGCGGAGGACGACGATGTACTTGGTCCAGACATTGGAATGGGACTGTAGGACTCAGTGCACCCATAAATGATGGAGGAAGTTCCTGTGGTGATCTTAACAGGTTCATAAGCCTTGCCCACGCTAACACGACGAGGAACTCCATCGCCAACATCAGAACATTCAGCGAAACCGTCAGTTTCTTCAACAACGTCGTTGGTGCTTAGACGACGAGTGAGCCATCCAGAGAATGGGTGTTCGCTTGCAAAGTGATCACGTCGATGGCCATACTCTTCCAAGTCCCAGTTGAAACCAGCAGCAACATAGTAGAACCACGAGCTACGGAAGGTGAGACCCCAGTGAAGCATATGCAGCTTGTTCCAGAAGACATCGGGATGAATGTACATTCCCATCATATCCCAATCATCGCCCTCTTTGGGAAAAGGATAGCCGGTCTGAGCCAGAAAAAGCAAAGGGTGTTTGAGCTCATGGTCTTCATACTTCCAGTCCAGTTTTCGACCCAAGTATTGGCGCTGATACTTGTCAATACTCAAGTAGTATCGCTTGAGAACAGGGATAACCAAGACACCTTGCTCAGTCATAAGCTTGAGCACTTTCTCCACACGCTCAGACAGCTCCATATTGGCAGCGGCCATGAGGATGAAATCTTCCAAGGGAAACTCATCAGGACTTTCGACTGGTGGGGCAATATCAGGAGCACGGGGTGGAGTGCTGTTAGCAGCTTCGATGGACGGAACGTGGTAGTACACTGAGTTGGGATCCTTCAACAAAGATCCATCGCGAATGGATTTCAGCGTGGCACGACGTTTCTTCGTAACCTCAGCCGAAACACCTTTGTTGTTGTTTCTTGGAAGAGGGAGGGATGCCGCCCCCGGGTTGCCTGGACCGTAAGGATTGTACGGATCGAAGAGCATCGAGTCGTCCAAGTAACCACCATCATAGTTGCTGGGTTTTTTGTTCATGGACTTGGAACGTGAGAGGGGGTGTGGCATGGAAGGACGAGCAACACGAAGTTTGGAATCGCGACGAACAGATCCGGAAGGCGGAGCTTTCTTCATGCCAGCTTGAAGGGCCTTTGAGAACTTCTTTTCCTGGTCACGGTTCCACTCAGCCACAGTCTTCACCTTGCGAACGGTCTTGTTGTTGGGAACCATGTTGTTGGGAACCGACTGAGAGACATTGCCGAGGGCTTTCAAGAACCTGTTCTCCTGTTGAATGTCCCACTGCTTCTTACGCTGCCGAACCAGATCTTCGTAACGGCCCGCAGTTGTCATCTTGGCGAAAGGCGTCATCTTGGTAACAGGCTTCTTCTTGGGAAGGGGCGGAGAGTCATCGTCACAACGGCGCATCCAATCGAAAGGGGCATCGCCACCAGGAGGATCATTGCCAGAGGAAGACATGACAAGCTAGTTGAGTGCTGGAAATTGGACAAGATTGGTGTATTTGGGAGCGAAATCGGAAATAATGAGCTCTTTCGAGGATTGTTTCAAGCCGCTGATCAGCCAAGATTCCATCCAAAGCCTACGTCTGGTCAGTTGAGCGCACTATGTATGAACAGACGGTCGTCGAGTGAGCCCTTATCAACCCCGCACGATTGCTATCGAATTCCTCAATTCCAAGTTGAAGGACACTTTGTCCGGTAAGTAACAAATGAAATATTTTTATAGTGGGATTACGATGTAAGTACTCATATCGCGACGTTTCCGACAACCATAAGACAGCGGGATATCAAGTCATCCGGAATGACAACAGGGTAAGTACTCATATTGGGACGTTTCCGACAAGCATAAGACATCGGGAACTCAAGCCATCCGGAACGACAACAGGGCGTTGAGACGTCAAAGTAAGAAGACGCACCAACGAGGCTCCGGCAAGTCACAAAATGTCTGGAATAGGTGCCGATATTGGTGCTGATATTGCCGAATTCGAAAGTCGGAACAGTTTACGGTGAGTCAAGGTTTGCCAGCACTGCTAGCAGCTAGTGCATTTTCTTCTTCTTTTCACCGGGGCTCATCTTTTCTGTTCTCTCGCTACTTCTCTTGTTGGATGTGACGGCGACTTTCTGTTTTACACGATAACCCTCAGTGTCAGAATGAAAAAGGCTCATTTCGCGAAGGCAGAGCTCATCCATGACTGTACGAGGGCTTTTTCCGGTGTAAATGGATCTGCTTTCTTCGTGGGAAATCCGAATACCCAGATACTCCATCACTGTCTGCTTTTGTTCCAGTGACATGGACGCGAAGAAATCGTCGTTGCTTTCGAGCATCTTGGCAGTTTGACGTGCTGTTCGCCCGTCTTGAAGAAGACCCCCGACATACATTCCGCTTCTTTTTCCACGGGCCTGTGCTTTATATCCCTTTTTCCGTGTATTACAAGGGACTTTCCTCATGTCGGACAAGGACACATCGAAGTGTCTGAGAGAGCTGCGAATAAAAGCAGCTGCTGGACAACTGTACCCCAATCGCTTGACACAGTCCTCGCAGTCCCCAACAATCAACCCATCAGCCTGACGTCTTCGAACCGTACAGTTGTTACGTGTCACCGAGACCATGCGTCGTGCAACATGATCCATTGTGTCACCCGTGGAGTATAAGTCTTCAAATGGACTATCGTCTCCCTCCAACGCCGACCTGATGACCGAAAATCTTTTCGCTGTAAGACGTCGTCCAATGCTGTAGCCAAGGTTGCACGTCCACGCAATTGGAGCTCCTTGTGCGTCAAACAGGAACGGGACTACATCCACCTCACTCTTCATGAACGCTGTGACAGCAACACACACAGGTGAGCAGGTACGTGGGATAATGATCTTGCAGGGATCGAATCGATTTTCTGCGTCTCGTCGTAACAAGCTTGGAAACGAATCAACCAACAACCGACCCAAAGTGACGTTTGCTTCGATCGCTGCATTCCGTCCCTTGATATGGTGCCCATTGAAACTCTCGTTCCCATTATTGTTCGGGATGACACCAACCTCTCCAGTGCAACTGTAATTGATGTTGGCGTAGACACTTGTCCCATACATGTTCAGGAAATGCTTTGCTGCTTCAGTCTCTCCCAACTCTTCATCCCAGTGACGCAATACCAATTCAGTTACCCTAACTCGCTGTTTCAGAGTCTTGCAGTGATGGATTAGATCAACCTGTTTGTGCGCATCTGACTTGTGGTTCTTTCCTTTTGATTTTACCAGGTTTTTGTTCTTGAATTTCTTCACAAAGCCATCCATCTCGGCAAAGTGTTGTGTGGCATGAAACCAGCAGAGCGTGGCCCCATAGAACTTCGGAGGAATGAAGCATTGCTTTCGCCATTGTTCCCAGTCGATTTTCTCCTTGGGTGTGGTGCCGCTGCTTGGAGCAGGATCGGGTAGGACTTCAGATGAAAGGGTGGGAACCGGCTGAGTTGCCTCTGCCTGGAAATCTTTCATTGTTCGGCTATGGTAAGTTTCAGTTGCAGACGGTTTTGGTTCTGCGTCGCACATACTGGGCCTGTTCCTGAACATACGGTGAGCTGACACAAATGTATCTGCCCTATCTGAAGTTCCCCAGTCTATGGCAAATTCGACATTGAAGAGCCTCTGGCACAGGTCACGCAACACGTACAGAGACATGCAGTATGGATAGAACCGCTCTGCCCCGACATGCAGGTAAGTAATTGGCCTCAGAGAAGCCGTGACTTGAACTTGGGTTTCTCGTTCCTTCACTGACAGTGCTCCGATAACTATGAGAGTGCTCAAATCAACGCAGGTACCACCTGTTCCATCGGCGCATACTTGTCTTGTACCGACTGCTCTTGTTGCAAGCGACTGCAGCATAAATAAACCAGTTGGTGATGTGACGAGGAATGCCTGTTCCATTTTGTCTTGAAACATTCTCTTCTTCCTTTCGGATCCAAGAGTCATGGCATCTCGAAAGCGATGGTGCACCGGTCCATACGTCAGGTCAACAACAAGCATATCCTCCACACCCACATCCATCGCCCTTGCGAGTTGGTCCGCTGTACTGTATGTTCTGGGGCTATATTCCGGAGAAACATCCAACTTCCACTGAAGCAGAACTCGGTACAGACTATAGCCATTGTTCATTCTACAAATACCCTTTCCCAGCATACGTTCCAAGAAAGCCGATTTCCTGTTGTGAATGTGGGTTCTTATCTGTCGCTTCAGATGCTCTCTAAAGTTTCCGTGAACAAGATACGCATAGTGAAAGAGATGGTTTGACACTTCGTTTCTTTTCTTGGCTGACTCGACTGTCTTGGTCAATGCACGAAGAATAGCATCGGCTTTGACCTTCATCAGGGATTGGTTGCAATAAGCCTCCTGATACTGTACGTATCTGGTGATAAAAGCAATGAAACATGGGGGGAGCCCGTGTTGATCCGCTGGTCTGGTTGGTCTAGGCTCAATGGGATGGTTGTGTTGTAGGATTCCCTTTGTGTAAACTCGGAAAATGCTTTGTCCTTCTTCAATATCGAATCTTCGAATCTGTCCCCTCCAAGGACACTTGACCGTCAATCCCTGGCGACTAACTATAGTGCCAATGCAGTGATACTTGTACTTGTAGCATGATTTTGCTTGTTCCGTCCCATCCGGTTTCAAACATCTTTCTCCACTAATGTATCCGCCGTGGTGAAGAAACAATTCTTCCCTTGCGTCTTCCAGAGTAGGACATGGGCGACACAAAACATCTTGGGTAAATTGGGTGTTTCCGTGGCCAATCCCATGCTGAAACTGCACACTATTGCTGACCGACCATCCCACTTGCATCCTTCCACCATTGTAGTTGCTCATTTTGCTAGTAAAGTGCGATTGTGCTACAACAAAAATGAGGCAAACTTTTGTTCTATTATTTCGTCTACCCAAAAGGAAACTTCCGAACTGTCTGCGGAGAGTTCCTCGATTATCAAATTATTTGGGATAGTGTCCAATGCTGTGCCGATCCTTCATCTTAACACAGAACATATTTTGTTTGGTTCTTCTTTTGTCTTATCCAGTCATCAAAGACGCAATAGAACGTTTCATTGGCTGTCTTGCTTGGGCGGGAGCAACAAGGAGCATTACTCCGAGAAAGTTCTTTCCTATTGACACAACTATCGCGATTCTTCCTGTTGGTGCACTGTACCTCTTCTTTTCTTTACTTCTTTCCTTCTATTTTGCAGCACAATGGCGCTCTTCTGTTCATCCTTCTATACGCATTCCACCACTCTTACTGTGCTTCCTGCATGGTTCCCATCATGGCGTCTTCTGCGTGAGGTATGTCGTCTTTTGCAGTTGCTATCGGTCATGGTGTCGCTGTTCGTGTTGATCTTCTTTTCGATTTGGATTGCTTCGATTCACTCGACTAACTCTTTGCACCTCCCACGTTACTTCGTACTCGTGACTTACTTCTTGTGATTGCTTTTTGCACGACTCACCCTTCTTTTCTGTGTATAGGGAGCGGGCCGCTCCATGTGGTTCGCCAGGACCACATCAGGTCCTACTAGCTAGCTAGTAGCAAAGCCTGGACGTTGGAATAAATCTTAATTAAATCTTAGGTTCTGCAGCCAACTCCTACCAGCGCTACGCCATCTCTACGCTGCTGAAGAAGCAGTCAACCCGTACCAGCTGGTTTCCAAGGTGTCTTCCCTTCCCTGTCGTCCTAAACACATCAAATCGCTTCGACAACTTGCTTCTCGATCAAAGAGGTCAATTAATTTCTCATTTTAAAAGATTGCTGAATGAAAGAAGGACAACCCCATGGTGCTAGTAAACGTTCATCAGCCTGAAGAAGACTCCCGCCAAAGGATGGATCCGTGTGGCATCTCGTATGGCTCTTGTGACTATGGGGGCATGCTGCAAGAGATCCAAGAGTGCGGGAGCTTGTCCATGTCGACATCAGACGACGAGGAAGGTGGCCGTGGGTATGGTAGTGAATTGTCCTTTTTGATGAATGATGACGAAGAAGAGCACCGCAACAACCAGTGCTGACAACCAAAGAACCTCCCTTTCAGCGGAGCTACACTGACGAAGGAAGACAGAGCAACGTCCGCCATCAGTCCTTCTTGAAGAGTTCTGCCATATGTCAGTCGGAGCGACCACGGTCTTCCTTTCATCAACAAATTCCGCCCAGTCGATGTCCCGACTTTCGGCAATCGTGGCGTCGCAAATCCTCCAAAAGAATATTATTGCTGGCCAACAACAACAACAACAACAACAACAACAACAACCAGCGTCCCCAACGCAAGTCTGCCAAGGAACACTGGGCCATGCTGCGAGAGTACGTCCAATCGGGAGCGTTCTTTCTCGATCGGGACTACGACGAGCGAACCTCTTCTGTTTTTTCGAGTCAGGATATGCGCCGTCCTTCCATGTACCATCAAAGGCACGCTTCTCTGGCGCGTCGGTTCCAAGCAAAAATCAGAGGTGGGGTGGAATGGACGTGCGGACAGTGCATCTGCGCCATTGGCTTGTATTTGGGAACGGCAATCCTGTGTTTCAACTTTCTCATCCCCGAGACGCGGCATGAGTGGACCATTATTGATAGCATGTACTTTGCCGTGGCAACTTTCACTACCATTGGTTTTGGAGATCTGACGCCACCCGATACCCATTTGGCAAGATTCTTGACTTGCATATTTGCGCTATCCGGTGTGGCTAGTTTGGGGTTGGCAGTGGGGGTGTTGGGACACCATTTGGTGGAACTAGAAACCAAGGCCATGCACTACTGTGAGAGAGATGTTATGACTCTCTTTGCATCGGTTCATATTGAGGATGACACACCGCCAAATACACAACAAGAGCAATTCAAAGCAAAACCTGCCAACCCACACTGGAAACGACTATGGAATCGAATGGGTTGTCGATGGCTTTCACGACAATATCAAACTGTAGCAGGTTTTCTCCATCCTACGCCGTATAATTCCTTTGCGAATGCTCCCTGTAAGACGGAAGCCTGCAAACGTCGAAAGGCAAAATATGAGAAACATTTCAACCAACAACACGCTTCACAACGCGTCCCCCATCACATCAATGTGAAATTCTCAGTTTTTCTAGCCCTGATACTGGCATTGAGCTACTGGATTGGACATGATGCTGGCTGGGACTTTTGGCAGACGCTCTATTTTGCCATTACAACTTCCTGTACCATTGGCTACGGCGACAAGGTCCCCACCAGCCAAATTGGGCGTCTCTGTGTTGTTGCATTTATCCCCTTTGCTGTTGGAGCCATGGGATACTTCTTGCAGCAGCTGGCAGAAATGATTGTCCAAACCAAACATCAACGTCACATGGGGGTGCTTTTTGGCACCAATATGGATGCAACAAATTGCCGACAGCAGCAGCGAGAGCTCACAGTGATGGATTTGGAAGCCATGGATTCGGATGGAGATGGCAATGTTGACTGGTGTGAATTTCTAGAATTCATGTTGGTGGCAATGAAGAAGGTTGACGAAGATTTGCTCTGGGAACTACGGTATCAGTTTGATAGCTTGGATGTGGACGATACAGGGGTCTTGTCCAAGCAAAACTTGATTTGCCTTGCCCGACGAAAGCTGCAGCAATCCACCCACAAGTTGCACCTGCAGCAATACAAACAGTACTTACTGAAGAAAACCAACAGCTCTTCCCTCAGACAAGAGGACAAAAAAGACAGTGCCGGTGAAGCCTTTGTCAACATGTCCAAGAAGAAGAAAAATTCAATGTATATGTCAGAAACTTCCAGATCCGTGACCTTTGCAGAGTTTCCATCCAGATATCCAACGGCTGAAAGTTTACGCTGATGTCGTCGAAGTCAGGACAAATGGAATCAATCCTTGCCGGGATCACATTGGCAAAATAATACTTGGTCTCCGAGCAAAGTTGGCCCACTCTCTGCGCGTAGCGTGGCCTTCCTCTTTCATGTTCATTTCATAAGCCACGGCTGCATTGATCAAACACTACAGGTACATATGTGTGATCGTGCAAGGCAAAGGGAGTCCATCGTAGTTCCACATTTGAAATGCCTAGTCAGTTATTTGCTTCATTACTACTAGATACCCTGCATTGCAGAGACCTCTTCTACCATCAGTTCCACTCCGCTATCGGAGACAAGATGACCTCATTGCGAGGACCGCCAGATACAGACCGTGCTAGCTTGCTCAGCTTTTGCCCACGCTATGACTTTGTGATTTCCTCACCACTATCAAACCAAACGGAAGCCACAATGGCAACTACAAGCACCAGCGCCGTCCATTCCAAGGCGCCCAAACGAATCCTGCGCATGAATTTCCAAATTTTATGAATCCTCGCTGCAGGTCTCCGGGCAGGGTCACCCCATTTGATGTCCCATAGAGTTCCCTCTTCTTCATTCCAGTGCCAAACATTATCCTTCCAGGCACTGGTTGTGTAGCCACCATTGTCTGGTCCTCCATTGACAACCTTCCAATAAAAGATTTTCGCACCGGCCTTCTGTAGCGCTCCATAGAATCCAATTCGGCAGCTGGAATTGTCTTCCTTGTACTTTGTGCTTAGATACTTCTTCTGTTCTGTGGTGAGACGATCGTCAGCCTTGAGCTTTGCTCGGATGGCCTTGACGGGTATGGGCCCGCGGGCAGGGCCGGTTTCTTCCAAGACGTCTTGGATGCGGCTCATCCAAAAGGTGGGAAATGCCGCTGCTTCGTTGTAGGTGGGCCAAAATGTAACCTCCTGACTGCAGATTGGACATCCAGCCCGCGGACTACCCAAACCCCCAATACCATAACGCTTTCCATCTGCGTTTAATGCTTCGCCCGACCTACGAAGGCATTCACTGTGGACCAAATGCAAGCATGGAATGCCGGCAACCTCTCCATTCTTTGCAATTCCTTCTTCATCAAACAGATCCTCGAGGCAGACAATGCAGACTGTGTTCATTTCTGGGACGGATTGTGGTGCATGGTCGCTCATCTTCAGTTCTTCTCCAGCTTACATCCAAACTAAACAGTTTATCAATCAATTGATAAGTCACGAGGAGCCAGCTGCGTGGTGTATGTAGATCCTTTCAATGAGAACCGAAAGGTTGAGCTGGTTGTCATCAGGACAAGAAATGAATGACGCCGTGCTAAAACAATCAGTTGGTTGTTATCAACGCCAACTTTTGAGGAAACTTGCTTCCACCGTTCACCGTCTGGTAGCGGTACAGTACGCTGGTGCGCTGGTGTCGGTGTTCATGAAACCAAAGGGCCTTTTACTAAAGGACTGATAAGTAAGTGTTTCGCGTTTCAGTCATCTGCTGTAAAAGCACTCCATATGTCATCTCACGTCCTCTTGACACCACTGGGAAAATGCAAAATGCATCGGGATTTATGTCTTTTTGTATTTTTTCTCTTCGGGACAATCGCGGCTGAGGTTCGGGACAAATCTATCTAACAATCACTGAAGCCAAAGTGCCAGAGGTTTCCCTCCTGCGGAACTTCTTCCACCCTCATCAAAAACTAATCAGCACTTTCATACCACACTTCCTTGGTGCTGCTGCAAACACCTGGAGGCTTCCATCACACGCAAGTCGCCAGGAGACTAGCCAGTTTATTTAGTAAAAGAAGGAACCATGGTGCTTGTCAGCGTCCAACAGGGTGCCACCCTAACAATGCCAGACACGGTCCGCGCAGAAGATGCACATCCCAACTTGAATCGGTGTGCCGTCTCGTATGGTTCCTGTGACTTTGAGCAAAACAAGGTGCAAACTTTTGACGAATTCTTGGACAATTTGTCTGATGCTGATGATGGGAATGAGGATGATCTATCGTTCTCAAGTAGCGACGAAGAGGTCCCGCCCCCGCCTCCGCCTTTCAAAACACCTTCTTCTAGACAGGACGGCAGAACTGAGGTAACAAGCTGTAGCAGGATTCGTCTCCAGACCTTTCTTAAAAGCCCACCTCTCTCACAGTCGGCACGACGGCGGGTAACTTTCAAGCAAGAGCAAACTTCCCTCTTGTCGCCACCAAGCAAGTCTCCAGACTTTCGCAAAGCCTGGCGCCAAAAGTCTACACGAAGGGTATCTGCAAGGATGGGAAAGCCGCTGTCTCCACTTCCTTCCAAACGCAAGACAGCCAAGGAGCACTGGGCCATTCTAAGGGAGCATGTCTTGTCAGGTCGGTTCTTTCTGGACAAGGACTTCATGGACAGAACCTACCATGACTCCAACCAGGCCATAAAGGGACAAAGCTTGAGAGCTGAAATCGAAGGTGGGCTGGAATGGACCTGTGGGCAGTGCCTCTGTGCTATAGCCCTTTACCTGGGAACTGCAATCCTGTGCTTCAACTTCCTCATCCCCGAGACCAGGCATGAATGGACCATCATTGACAGCATGTACTTTGCCGTGGCAACCTTTACCACCATTGGCTTTGGAGATCTGACCCCACCTGATACCCATCTGGCAAGACTTTTGACTTGTGGTTTTGCTCTCTCTGGTGTAGCCTGTTTGGGGTTGGCAGTAGGAGTCCTAGGCCAGCATCTTGTAGACCTACAGTCCAAGGCCATGCACTATTGTGAACGAGATGTTATGACTCTCTTTGCCTCCATTCAGAATGACGAGGGTGAGTTGCAGCCCTGTGAAATACACCAGCACGAACTACAACGGGAGTCATCCTTCAAGCTTGCCACCAGCTGCGGGAAGCAGATGTGGCACCGTTTGGGTGGCCAATGGTTTTTACAACAGTACCAAGCAATGGAGTCTTTCCTGCACCCTCCAACTCCATACAGCTCATTTACTTGTGCCCCCTGCACAACCAATGCCTGCAAGCGACGCAAGGAAAGCTATGAAAAACGACTCAGCCAACGGGAACATTCACGCTTCTTTCAGAGGATCAATCTCAAGTTTGGTGTCTTTCTTGTCTTGCTGCTGGTATTGAGCTATTGGATTGGTCATGATGCTGGCTGGGGCTTTAGTCAAACTCTCTACTTTGCCATTACAACCTCATGCACGATAGGTTATGGTGATAAAGTCCCCACCAGCCAAGTCGGAAGACTTGGTGTAGTTGCCTTCATTCCCTTTGCCGTTGGAGCCATGGGATACTTCTTGCGGCAGCTTGCGGAACTGATAGTCCAAGCCAAACAGCAACGGCATATGGGCATGTTGTTTGGAACCATTATGGATGCAACAAATTGCCGGCGACAGCAGCGAGAGCTCACAGTGGTGGATTTGGAAGCCATGGATGCCGATGGAGATGGCAACGTTGACTGGAGTGAGTTTCTTGAGTTTATGCTGGTGGCCATGAAGAAGGTTGATGAAGATTTGCTCTGGGAGCTTCGCTATCAATTTGATAGTCTCGATGTCGACGATACTGGGGTCTTGTCCAAGCAAAACCTGATTTGCATGGCACGGCAAAAGTTGCGCCAGTCCTCCCACAAGATGCATTTGAGGCAGTACAAGCAGCAGCTGTTGAAGAAAACAAACAGCTCTTTGTCAGTGTTGCATGAGAGACGAGACTTCTCCAGTGTTGTCATTGATCTCATGACTAAGAACAAGAATGCGATGGATCAGTCTGCGTCTTCCTGGACCTAAAGGGACGAGAGGCAGCCTACTGGATTCGATTCAGCACGTGTCTGCTTGCATGCTTGCTGTCCACCAGTACAGTACCCGTACGGGTAGGTGCTGGCTAATATTAATAGCTACTCAGAGCTAGCCAGCTACCTTAGCTTGCTCTGGTAGCCAGCTTCATGTCGCATGCAGCACAACATGGTTCTAGTAGTGGCAATCCCGGCCCACAAACGGATCTGTCACAGGATCACAGAATGCATGTGTCATAGTTGATGCAGCTGTTGATGCCATGGGAAATCCCAAGCAAGAGCATCTGCACCGGTACAAACATCGCTGACATCTATCTTGCAGCCATGCCGTTGTCATGTACTCAGCTTCCTGTAGCAAGGAGCTAAATGTACTACTACGGCCCGATGGAAAGTCCAAAAGAACATCATTTTGTTCCGGTACACACTGAAACTAAAAACCTGCTAACCTGCTAACCTGGTGAACCCGGACACCCGGACACACGATCGATCGATTGGCAGCTGCAGTTCCGACCATGTACCGACGTACTGGAGCTGTACGGTATCGGTGAAGGCACATGTATTACACTTGGTACCTGTACCGGATGGATGGTCCGCGGATGGAACGATTTAAATCTCTGTATCCCGCTGGGAAGTCTACAAGCACGCATCTCTGCTAACAAACTAGTTAGGTTAAATCTTTCTTGTCACGAGACAACTTCGAATGCCGGGAAATGAGACGCATGCGTGACTGGATGTCAAAACGCGATCACTTTTTGAAAGCCGTCTTGCACCCAACCTTTGTTGAAGAAAAAGCACAGAAGTGGCTCCCCTCTCTTCACATCCCTCAATTGGTTACTACTTCGGAGTAATAGTCTAGTATTCGATAATACTAAAAGAGACAGACCAAGCAACAATGGACGCCATTGATATGATGTCGGAGGACTTTGCGTCCTCACCGAAACGTACCGAAGATATCACGGAGGGTATGAGCGATGACTCCGAGGAAGAAGCCCGAATTCATCGAAAAAGCAAAAGGAACGTATTCCTCGTGTCGGTCTTCCTGGCGATTTTGACGCTTGCCCTTGTCGTTGTGTTGGCAGTGGTGCTCACCAAAGACGAAAACAAAGCAACGGCTTCTTCCATGCAGTCGAGCACCGTCCACCCGATTCCGCAGACATCAGCTCCAGTTAATAATAACCTGCCAACAACAACAACAACATCTCCCAACCAATCATCTTCGGGGAATTTGGATCTTTTAATGCAGAATCTCCCAGCCTTCACATTGGAGCTCCTCAACGATGAATCCTCCCCTCAATCCAAAGCCAAGAACTGGCTAATCAATCACCCGGACTTGCCCACCATGAGTGAATCGAGAAAGATGCAGCTCTTTGGTCTTGCTTCGTTCTACCACGCCATGCACGGACCCACCTGGCCAGCCAAGTTCCAAGACACCTGGATGCGGCATGATAAGCACGAGTGTGACTGGCATTTTGAAAAGGTCGATTGCTATGTGGAAGCCGAAGCTGATGCCGAGCAACACTGCAATGACATCGCCGCCTGCAATGACAACCGAGAAATCATTGCCATTTCCTTGCGTGGGTTGGGCCTGACTGATCACTTTCATTCCATCCATGTGCCCGCGGAGGTCTACCATTGCTTGCCATCTATGGAACGATTCTCACTTATTGGAAACTCCATTAATGCCACCATTGAACAGTTCTTGCCGGATGACATTTTCCGACTCCCCTATCTTATTGAGCTCAACTTGCGAAACAACTATTTAGTGGGAAACATTCCCACTCAACTTGGTTGGATGAGCAACCTTCAATTTTTCTCATTGGCAGGCAATTGGTTGTCCGGCAGCCTGCCCACGGAAATGGGGCAAATGGCCAGTGCGAAGGAAGTGTACTTGTGGCACAACCGCTTGTCGGGAAGTATCCCATCCGAGTTTGGGTTACTCACCAACATGGAGGACATGGAGCTTTTGGGCAATGTGCTCACGGGAAAGATCCCCACTGAGCTCACACGAATGACCAATGCCCAAATGCTCCACATGCAAATGAATCTATTCACAGGACACATCCCAAGTGAATTTGGAACCATGCCCCGCTTGACTTCCTTGTCGCTCCGACAAAATTCCCTCACCGGAACCATTCCATCCCAGCTGGCGGGTCTCTCCGGGCTGAAGGTGCTTCGGTTGGAACACAACGACTTGACCGGAAGTATTCCCGAAGAATTCAACGCCTTGGCTGCCGACTTGGTTCGAATCACGATGAATGGCAATCGATTGATCGGAATGGTCCCGGAAGAATTGTGCTCGCTGGGAGTTTACGATCCCGTCAATCGAACCGGTTTGGCCATTGATTTTTTCGGAACGGAGCATACGGTTTGTGGCTGCAATTGGTGCCCTTGTTACGATCATTTGGAAATATTCATGCAGAGTCTTCCAAGCTTCACCTTGGAGCTCCTCAACGATGAGTCCTCACCTCAGCACAAAGCCAGAATCTGGCTTTCCAATCACCCAGACTTGCCCACCATGAGTGAATCAAGAAAGATGCAGCTCTTTGGTCTTGCTACATTCTACCACGCCATGCAAGGACCCACCTGGCCAGCCATGTTCCAAGACACATGGATGCGGCATGATAAGCATGAGTGCGACTGGTTTTTTGAAAAGCGTGATTGCTACGTGGAAGAAGAAGATGTCGATGCCGAGCAACACTGCAACACCCTTACCTCCTGCAATGACAACCGAGAAATCACTGCCATTTCCTTACGTGGATTGGGCCTGACTGATCACTTTCATTCCCTCCACGTTCCTCCCGAAGTGCACCATTGCTTGCCCTCTCTGGAAAGGTTCTCGCTGATTGGAAATTCCATCAATGCCACCATGCAACAGTTGTTGCCCGATGAAATCTTTAGACTCCCTTATCTCATTGAGCTCAACTTGCGAAGCAACTACTTGGTCGGAAACATTCCCAGTCAACTCGGTTGGATGAGCCATCTCCAATATTTGGCTTTGGGGGGTAATTGGTTGTCCGGCCACATGCCCACGGAAATGGGACAAATGGCTAGTGCCAAGGAAGTGTACTTGTGGCACAACCGCTTGTCGGGGAGTATCCCCACCGAGTTTGGGCTGCTCACCAGCATGGAGGACATGGAGCTTTTGGGCAATGTGTTCACGGGAAAGATCCCCACCGAGCTCACACAAATGACCAACACCCAAACACTCCACATGCAAATGAATAAGTTCTCGGGACACATCCCAAGTGAATTTGGAACCATGCCCCGCTTGACCTCCTTGTCGCTCCGACAAAATATCCTCACTGGAACCATTCCGTCCCAGCTGGCCGATCTCTCTGGGCTGCAGGTGCTTCGGTTGGAAAACAACGATTTGACTGGGCGTATTCCCCAAGAATTCAACGCCTTGGCTTCACACTTGGTGCGAATCACCATGAATGGCAATCGATTGTCCGGAATGGTCCCCGAAGAATTGTGCTCGCTGGGAGCTTATGATTCCGTCAATCGCACTGGTTTAGGCATTGATATGTATGGAACGGAGCATACGGTTTGTGGCTGCAATTGGTGCCCTTGTGATGTGGCGGCCAACACGTCTCATTTGCGAGGAAGGAATCTGGCAGCCGGTCCTTAAAAGTTGAGGTTGGCCTGGATGGTGCATCAGTTACGATGGTTAGTTTGTTGGATCTTCATATTCCGCTGCTCAAATAGTTTGCCGGTCTCCAGCTCCTTGCCACGAAGGGCAAAGACTTGGCAGCATGCATGTCTAAAGAAGGAAAGAATAGTAGTCTGCATTTTTACATTTCATGAATCGTCTTCGTATGCGTTCAGGGGCTGTTTCCTCTTTTCTTTTGAGGGGACGATGACGACCGGTACCGATTCACACCAAGGTGCATGTTCTACTGGACCTTTGGCTCTACGTTTAGGTTGTCTTGGTCGCGCGTCTGGTTTGTCTCTGCTTCTTTTCTCATCCTTGTTGTCTGTTCACACTCTCCCACCAGCTGCTTGCTTCCTTGGCGTTTTCCTCGCCGTTGGAAGGAGAAACGAAAGCCGAAGAAGTCGAGGGCTGCGATGAGGACGAAGCAGACAAGGAGGAGAGTGTCGTCCATGCGATGATGACACAAAGTGGAGGGGATCCACGCAATGTAACCTTGCGGCGTGGCGGGTGACGTCAAAGAAGTGATATGGGCTGGACGGATGCATGGTTTTGGCGTCCTCGTTCGATTCGAGCAAGTGGATTTGTGGCTCGGGTTCGTGTGTGTTCGGGGAGGGTGGTAAGCCTAGTGGTGGCTGTTGTGTATCGATCGATTTATGAGCTTTGGCCGGCAAGATACAATGCACTACATACATGTTTCCCGGGCAATGCAATTGCCAAAGACTCGATCTGAAGCGGCACGTCCCCAGCCAGGCATCGACCCCCAAAACAGCCAGATTCCAATGCTACCAGGCCGGCAGAGCGAGGCATCAGAGGAGCCAGTGCGACGGAAGGCCACGGCATTGCACAACCACCAAACGCAAAGAAGTGGAGCAGGATACCCTTGCCATTTTGGTTCTCATTGCTGCCTTTGCTTGGCAACTCAACTATCTTGTTCGCTCTGTGAGAGAGACGTTGCTGTATTTGATTCAAAAGGGAGGTGTTGCTCTAAAACTACCTGTAGTTGCTTGCTAGCTGGCTACTACCGCACCGGTCTATAGAGCGGAACCGTTCAGTCGAGTCGAGTCGAAGAGTCGAGTCCTCAGTCATGGGAACGGGATCTGACAACGAAAGGAAAAGGCACTGTTGGGGTCCAATGGAAGCGCTGCACATCGTCCCGGACCACAAGTTGAAGGCTTGGAGATAACCAGACAGGAGTCGAGTCTGAGTGTGTACTGATGCAGGGATAGTACCTAGTAGCTAGCTAGGAGAGAACCAGGATAGCTGGCACTGCCCCCTTCCTGCGTACCAGGTAGGTTGTTTCACTGCCAGTAATCCAAGCTGCTGACTGATGACTTGCAAGCATTGTTTGGCAGTAGCATGCACTATCTAGTAGGACCATTGCGGGTGCTGCCAAACTGCAGCGCAGAAATATGAAAGTATTTTCATGTATAATGTACAGACTAAAATGATGTATGACGCTCCCAGGTCAAACCAAATGATCTCTACCTAACATCAAGTCACAATGCAGGAGTCCAAAGGGGTATCCTTCCTTGCTGTCTGATGTCCTTTGGCTCCTACTTTGTAAGGCGTGTTTGAGCTGTGAGTGACTAATGTAACATGTGTGGTTCCCCATTCATGCTCTGACCAGAGGAGGCATACATTTGTGATGACTGAGAAGCGTCTTGGTGAGACTGTTCTTGTGAGTGATGGTACTGCTGCGGGTGATAGTACTGCTGTGATTGACTTTGCTGTGCTTGTGCTTGTGGCTGTTGCTGTGGTGCATGATCTACTTGTTGCCCCTGGTATTGTACAGTCTGGTGGTATCCTTGTGGATGTCCTTGTTGCACTTGATAGTTATGTCCACTGTTGTGCTGATGTATTGTGTGGGCATGTCCTGTTGTATTTTGTACATCAGAGTGGTGATAGGTTTGTGGTTGTGTGTGCTGATGCTGGCTCTCAGGTTTGTGTTGTACAGGGTGGGAGGTGTGCTGGGTTTGAGCAGGTTGGTGCTGCACTTGCTGGTGCCCATGGGGCTGAGCTTGGCTCTGTGCCCCAGGATGTTGAGGCTGCATGTGTGAGTGATGGCTATGAGAACCATGCTGTGTCTGTGGAGCTTGCCCTGGCTGTTGTGCCCCATGAGGGGTCTGACTTGGAATCTGATGGTGGTGAGAACCACCTTGTGGCTGGTGTGCTTCCTGTCTCCTCTGTTCTTGTTGCTGAACATTCTTCAAGGCTTCTTGTCCGTGGTGGGTTGACTGGGTTTGTCTTGTGTGGACCTGTGGAGCCGAGATCGGCGCATGGTGTTGACTACTTTGTGGATACTTTGAAGGAGACTGTGGTTCTTGCGTGTGAGTTGCCGGTGCCTGATGGTGAGGCATTGGGGCTTGTGGAGCTGGGGCTTGATGTAGCGTCGGGGCTTGCTGATGAGGCAGAGGTGCTGGTACCGGTGCCTCCGGTTGCGTAGGGACGGGTGCCTGCGATTGTGGCTGGTGTGGAACCGCTGGCTGCTTCTGAGCCTGCGGTTGCGGCATGGGAGGCGCCCATATCATAATGGTAGGCTGTGGAGCAGCTGCCATCGTCTCACTTTTCGAAGCCCCGGGAGCCATGACGGCTTGGGTTGTCGTAGCAACCGGTACAGCTGGGGCACCAATCGCAGTGCCAAGGGAATTCACCGAAGCGATAGGGTTGCTCACTGCAGAGAACACTGGAGTCGCAGTCGGCGTACTCGCAGTGGCTGCAGCAGTTGTGCTGGTGGTCCCGTGCTGCATTTGCTGCTGGAGATGCATCTGCTGGATCTGGAACTGTTGCATCTGTTGCATCATGGCCATTTGCTGCTGCTGCATCATCAGTGCTGTATTCGCATCCATCGGTGCCGCAGTAGTCCCAGGTGTGGAGGGAGCCACAGGATTCGACATTCCAAAAGGTATCATCCCTGGCATCCCTGGGAAGTAGCCGACCATGGGCATGGTAGGCATCCCTCCAGGCAGTCCGCCGGGCATCATTGGGAAGATGTTCTGAGTTGCCGCCTGTCCTCCTGGAAACATCAGTTGTGCGAACTTGGCAGGGTTGGCCCCGCTATTACTGCACATCTGAAGGCACTGATGGGCGTCATCTCGGAGAAACTTGGGGTGGAAGTAGCTTCCCATCTCGGGTCCCCGGGTCACACGTGTGAAGCCCCATCGATTCAGCTGCAACAAAGGAGGGACGGATGCGTAAGTTGAAGCAACAAGGACGTCCAGGGATCCATACAGGCCTTCTGGGGAATTACCTTTCGAGTGAAGGATGTATACTTGCACGCCTTGAAGTACCTAGGGAGTACCTCTTCTGAGAAAGACTTTTTCTTGTAGATGATGAAGGCTTTCCCGTGCGGCAACCAAGTAATGGCATCCTTGCTGGCCTCATCACTAAGCATTTCCATAAGCTGTTCAAGAGAGAGGTACAAGATCAGACAAGTCGTTTCGTGCTAGGAGGCTAATATGGCCTCGCCTAATTTTACGGGAGTCACATGGCTACTTACCCTTTGTGGAAAAGTTTTCTGAGGTTCATCATTGAGATCCTCCCCGGCTTCATCCTTGACATCCAGATTGTTGTTTTCACTAGAATCATTGTTTTCTGGGGTCACTGTGGAGCTATCATCGACTTCGTTTCCACCTTTATCGGTCGTGGTTTCGGTACTGTTGCTAGTGGTCACGTGGGTAGATGAAGCAGGTACCGCCACAGCCCCGGTTCCACCCAGTGCTGGCTGCTTCTGATCTCCATTGGCGGTTACCGTAACATCAGTCCCCATTGGTGTCGTAGCCCCACTATCAGCAGCCATCATTCTGCTTTCATGAGTTTTCAAAAGAGATTGATGGACAAGATGCGTAATGATGGGAGATGGTGCCATGATGCCAACCAACATTCCGTGTGGTATAACGAGCACTCATTTTTGAGTGTTCTGTCAAAGCGATGCTTAAAAAGTGATGAGCAAAGGATGATGTAAGCATTGACTTGGACGGCGCGCTGAGCAATTTCGGATCGTAAACCTTAACCCAAAAGAGTACAAATTTAGCTACGAAGCTTCCTTTGAATTTAAGAAACAGCCACCTATGCAACACACTTGACACACAAGAGCAACACTGATTTAGGTCTGCTACCTCACATAGCTAGCGCTACAGCCGCCTATTGTTCTTTATAGCAGCACTCGGCTTAGCCTTGGCTGTTGCCATTATAACAGGCAAGCTATGGTGGTTGTATCTCAAGGTGTCATTGATACAAGCAGAGTTTGTAATACGAGACAGCTTTTTAATTAGCGAAGCAAGGAGCTAAATAAGATCCAGCTCAGTGCCTGGGAAGATGAGTTGGTCCTGTCAAGCCAATGCACGCATGTGTGCAAGATAGGATCCTGCCTCGCAGACCCCACGTTCTTTGGTTTGGAACACTCTTGTCAAAGCAAGAAATCTCTGTGCCCCTGATCCAGTCCGATTCCACTCCTAGCAGTAGACCAGCACCTGATCCGTTCAAGCCCAAAGGGCTCCAGTTCCACTTTCTAAAGAAGGTTGGCTGAACTTGATGGCTGTCTCCTCGTGCCGGTATTGAGCATTGCAAACAGCCAATCAATTTATATCTTATATTCAAGGAAAGACTGGGAAGTTGTCTATGACGCGACCATGACGTATCGCATCGACAAACTTAGCTTATCGCTGGAGGATTTTACGAGCTTTCACAGGCGTGTGACAGGTCACAGACCTGTCACACTTCGCCTGCTACGACTTCCTGACATCAGCAATCGCAATCAGGAAGGGCGGGGGTCGAATTCATTTTGCTTCATCCGCACGTGTACCGGTACTCCACAAACTTGCGATCTTGTGAAAGACAGCTGAGATTAGGAAAGCACCTGTCCTTGTTGCAGTTACAGCTAGCTAGCTAGAGTATGGTTAGCAAGATAGAGATATCTACATTCTAGGAAGTTGTAGGAGGCTACAGTAGGTTTTCGGCTACAGCTCCGTCTCGGTAGGAGCAAAGGTCGCTCAAGCAGGTAGTTTCTTGCAACCATGCCATTCCTGCAAAAGTCACCCCTTCAGACCATCTTATGTTCCCCCGTTGGGATTGGTCGTAGCAGTGTTCCCGCTAACCGGAGGCTGCTGTGGTTGCTGTACTTGCTGTTGTACTGGTACCTGCTGTTGAGGTGGCGGCATGGGCGGTGGGAGAGGTGCGTTTCCCATGAGGGCTTGACCGATAGTCGCAATGGCGGCTATTTGTTGCTGATTCAATTGTGGGTGTTGTTGTTGTTGTTGTTGTTGTTGCTGTGGTTGCATCTGAGGAGGAGCCATCATGGGTTGCTGCGCCATCGCTGGCATGGGTGCCGGGGGAGCAGGTGCTGCGGGAGCGGGAGGTAGTTGCTGCTGTACTTGAGGAGATTGTGGTGGCGGTGGCGGGGCAACAGGTGCGGGCTGTGGAGCCATTTGTGGCTGCTGCATTTGAGGCTGATGTGGTACCATTTGTGGCGGTGGCTGCTGCTGCTGCTGCTGAGGAGCTGGCATTGGTTGCTGTTGTGCCGGCATTGGTTGCAGTGCCGGAGCTGGCATGGGTGCCTGTTGTTGTGGTGGAGGTTGCTGCTGTTGCGGGGCTGGCGCAGGCATGGGCTGGCCGGGAGCAGGAGCTTGAGGTGCTGGTGCAGGCATGGGCTGACCAGGTAGAGGAGCTGCCTGGGGTTGCATTTGCATATGCGGCTGCCCGGGGTATGCTGGCATGGGTTGCATCTGTCCCGGAGGCGGTAGTGGCATTTGTCCTGGCTGCATCGGTTGCTGCATAAAGCCCTGGAAATGCGGTTGTTGGACAAAGAACTGAGCCTGCATTGGCGCCATGTTCATTTGCATGGGATTCATCGGCGCCATGTTCATGGGAGCGCCATTGTATGGAGCCGGTGGACCGGGATGTCCTGGTTGAGGGCTCATTTGCATCATTCCTTGATTGGCCATGAGCATGGCCAGGTATGGATTTGCCGCCATGGCAGGGTTGGGTGCTCCCGGAGGTGGCTGAGGTTGATTTGGATTGGGTGGCATAGCATGGGGCATCTGTTGTTGCTGCTGCGGTGGCATTCCAGGGTGAGGAGCTTGCACTTGCATTCCCGGGTGAGGAGCTGGCATTGGCTGCTGTCCAGGAGGTGGCGGAGCTCCCGGAGGCATGGGCGGCCCAGAAGTCGGTGGTGCGCCGGCCATGGGTGGTGGAGCCCCGGGGGCTCCCCCAAACCCTGCCAAAGCCATCAACTGTTGTTGTTGCTTTTGTTGTTGCAACAAAAGGTTCTGTCGCTGCTCTTCGAGTTGCCGTAGTCTCATGTAGTTTCCTTCGTCCCCCGGTATGGGTACCATCCCATGCGGCGCCATTCCCGGTCCCATGGGTTGCCCTGGCTGAGGCATGGCCAATCCCAGAGCCACTGGATTCATTGGCTGCAACTGCTGAGCCGACTTGGAGCTGATACAACTCATCTGCATACATAGCCGCAGATTATTCTTTTGGAATAGCGGATGGTAATAGGCGCCGGTTTCTGGTCCTCGTGTGACGCGGGTGAAGTTCCTATTGACATATATGATGGAGGGTAGTGAGCCAATGGAGTGTTTTCATGCGCCCCGAAAGACCAACACCAAACACTTACCATCGGTTGAGCTTCCTGGTAAAACTGGTGAACTTGGACTTTTTATTGAAAAACTGAGGTATCCAATCGATAGTTTGTTGGTTGGTGAGTTGGGCAAACTATGGAACTAAAAGCACAGCAGTCTCTTCTCAATCAGCTAGCTAGCAAATAGATGACCATACCTTTGGCATGATTTCATTGGCAAAGCGCTTCTTCTGAAGGATGACGAACCCACGACCTTGGAGTACCATACCGTAGAAAGAAAGGCGCAGCGATAAACCCACATCAGACGGGCCGGGGTAGCACCGCACACAACTATTGTACTTTACTCACCATGAGGGAGCCAAGTGATTATGTCTGAAAGCTTATCGTTGGTGAGGATTTCCATCATCTGATCCAGGCACACAGAACAGACAAGGTTGAGTTAAGTCTCGAATCAATCCCATCAGATCATCCCCAGATCAGACTGCACCAGACTACACTGCCACCATAATATCTAATAGAAGCACACCATCACTTACCCGTTGCGGAAAGGTCATTGGTACGTCTTCGTCTCCACCCTTGTCCGAGTCATCGTCGTCATCTCCGCCTCCACCGCTGGTAGCGGGCTGCGGAGGATTGGGATCGACGTTACCAGACCCTGGCATGTCGGCGGGTTGCATATTATTGGGTTCCATAGTCTTACGTGCAGTGCGGTGTGCCTCCAAACCAAACTCTTGTTGAAGTGGATTTGCTTGGATGTTGGATCAGCGAGGACTAGCTAGCTAGTAGTAGTACAGCCAAAGAGCACCAAGAGGACAACAACACTGCACTTCACCGCAACAATACCGGTACTATTGGTAGCCGCCGTCAAGAACAAAAGAGGGCAAAGAGAATGATATTGTGAGAGCAGACAAGCCAAGCTAATAGCAGACTTTGAAAACTTGAAGGCTAATGGTGTGACATCCAACTGTGACAAATAATGGACGAGCTTGGCTGTGGTGCTCATGTCCTACCTTCGCTTGATGATTGCTATGCGACAGACAGCGGTCAGAGGCTTCTCCCTCCTTTTGTGTGGTGTGGTTCATAAACTGCGCGCTTCCTTGGCTGAAACATTTTTGAAGAATCTGTACCAGCCGGTACCATTTCCACGTACCGTACTAGTTTTCCGTAGGTCTTCAGCGTAAACAAATTGATGGATGTCCATTGCCTGGGTAATCTTTCGAATTCTGCCCTCTTATTTAGATTCTATTGTCAGTTTTGTAGGAGGAGACTAAAAGTTGCTTGGCCTGCCTACCAGTATCATATTGCTTGGTTTTGCTGACAGTGTGGCTGTACCTATAGGGTGTAGCATCTATTCCTTTCCATCTCTGCAGCAATCAACAGATTTGATCACTGTCATGGATTGGTATGGTAGTTCTCATCTCTCGATTACTGGACGGTATCAAGGTTTCTCACGAGGGGTGGCTCAATCTCTGACTTGATTCGATTCCAACAGGTCCCAGTACCCGGACACTGGAAAGAAGAGTGGGGTGGTGCTGGACAGCAGGAGCCTAGCCTTCCTGCAATTCTCCAACCTGCTGCTCCATTTTGCACACGCTCCTGTTGGAGCCAGATGTACATGTAGGGTAGAATAGTATCTTAACACAAGGGCTTCTATGGTTCCGTAAAAAGGAAATCTTTGCGAATGTGACAGGCCAGAACGTGTCGTATTTATTGGCGGTTAAACGGTGGTTATGCAATCTTGGTAAGACTCATCACTCGACTGGACTCAAATCCAAGAGCGTGGATAATAGTCCACGCTTCGTGGAACACAACTCCACACATCGTTCAGGTTGATTTCGGCGGAGGAAACCGCCATGGATACTGGAAATTCCTTGCTTTGATTTGGTTATGGAATGAGTGGAATGCGCGGGCTTTGGAATGGTCGGCCCTTTGCGAGCTCTACGTTCTGCCAAGCAAGGGCAAGGGGTCCACAGTGATCACACAAGTCTTGTTGACAGCGGTTTTGTTTGTTGCCAAAGTATCGCACGAAAGAAGATGATTTGCCAATCGCCAAGTAACTTCTGAAAGTACACGCATCATAGAGTTCTAAAGGTAGATAGAAGAGTCAAGTCGCTTCGCGTCGGTACATTCGTCACGGTCACTCTGCGTTGTTATTATTGTGTTGCATTCCACCAATCAATCACCAATCTCACCAAATCAACACCTAACGAAACAGTATTACTTTTATGATAGACTAATATGTAGTTTAAAAGTTTGAAATAATGCATACACATATCTTTGATTGAGGTCCCAAAAAACCGCCCGCCTAGTAATAAGACTGGCGTCAATCATGCTTTGCTTACACCAAACGACGTCCTCTGTTTTCTTGCTCATCCATATCCTCGTCCTGGCTTTGACACTCGCACTCTTGTGACCCTTCTTCCTCCTCATTCTCTTCTTCCTCCTCTTGCTCGCAACCCGCGCCGTCGTCATCGCCTTCTTCGCATTCTTCTTCTTCTTGGTCGCGACTGTCTTCGCAAACACACTCTTCTTCTTCTGCTTCATATCCTCCCCGTAGCTCAAGTTCGATCTGTTCTTTTGCATTGGTGAAGGAAGTAGGGATTTCTCCATTGAGAGTAACTCGTCTTGCCACAAGTCGCAAGTAGTCGGACTCTTGGATGGTAGGAAAGATACCGGTCCAATCATCTGGCAATTCGGGCAGGTAACGAGCAGTTTTGAAGAAGTCCTTGATCTGTGATTGCTGTGTCGGTCGTCGCGGCAAGTGTCCATAGACGGAAGCATAAATGACGTTGGCGAACAGATAGGATCCATAAGGCGAGGCATAAGGCATGGTTTCATTCAGGAAGAGCTTGGACCACAAGCTATGGTTCTCTTCCCACACGGTAAGGTATGCCAAACCGATGGGGACAACCTTGGGCTCTTGGTAGCTGGGCAAGTTATACTTGAGTGCCATTAGGTACTCTTCGACACCATAGTAGATCATGGCTTGCATGTATGGAATGGACTCGCCATAGTCGGTTTCGTTGCTTCCTGCTTCCATAGGGTAGGCATGAGTGTCAACGAGTAGTGGCTTGGCTCGGGAATCTTTGATCATGGGCGCATACGCATACTTCAAAGCATCGACAGTGTCCTCTCTTGCATCAGCGTCAGCCATACGAGCTGTTTGGTCGTTCAAGATGACATAGTCAAAGACGCTTGGATTCTTCAAGTTCCAATCGTTCAAGTACAAGATATAGTTTTCGTCTTCGAAACAAGGGTTCATGCCTTCTTCGTAGTAGTATGCTCCGTTGTAGTTCATGTAGGTCAAATCGTTATCGTACCCTTCCAGCAGTTGGAAGACACTGCAAGAACCGTAGTCATGGACACCTTCGCCGTCGTAGTCTTCGTTCCATTCGGTATTGAACTTGTATGTGATAGCGTTATCTGTGTCCCAGTACTCGTACATGCCGTTTCCTGCTCGGAGAAGTCTTCCCAGCGATGCTCCTGGGTTGACACAGGAGCCTTGATGCACTCGCCCACCACTGATCTTATTCACGAGACGGGGGACATCATTGACGAAAAAGTACGAGTTACCGATGAAAGCCACGCTCTTTTCTTCGGTCCAGTCGACAAAGGTTTCTTCTTGCCAATCAAAGAGTTGCTCTCCGAGCATGGTGTTTTCCAGTTCCAATGCCAAGCCGGTGAGAGCTGCGGCTGCCACGGCACCCACCGCCAAGTACTTGACCCAGAGGGGAATGGCAGCAAAAATAGCCGTAAAGCCGACTCGAGGAACGTTTCCGGGCAGTAACAAGTCGGGGTGATCTCGTCGGTACTTTCGTGCCGTGACAGGAACGTCATCCAGGTTCTTGTCTTTGTTGTTCCTGGGAGCATGTATCGTGTCATAGGCAGATGCCAATCCATCGACGACCTTGTTGGGGAGTGTGCTTACCACGGCTGTCTTGACAGCCAAGGTAGCTTTTTGGAAGTTTCGTCGGAGGTAACCGACATTCTCTTTCTTTTTGACACTTTGATGGGTGTTGGCCTTGATCTCCAGCGGAGGCTTGCCCTTGAGACCCTTGGCCCCTTCCAGTTCACGCTCTATTGAAGCTCCAATGGTACTGAGGGAAATGGCCGAAATGACGGCGGTGCTGTGGGAGTCGTCCTGCGATGTTGTTGGCACGTCGACGAATGGTAAGTAGTCAGTTCCACCAAGTTCACTGTTACCCTGCTTGTTGGCCTTTGCGTCTTTTCCATCATCGTTGACATCGTAGTTCTTCTTCAAGTGCTTGGGTAGAATCATCTCGCGCTCTCCGCTAGTAACGCGTTTTGCCGGGATGTTGTAGTCCAGCTCAGAAGTTACGGGTGGTACAGGAGTATCAGCAGCAGCAGCAGCAGCAGCTTCAGGGTTTGTAGGGGGTGGATTGGCGTCGGCTGGTGGAGCCGTGGCAGTTCCAGGGGGGTCTTGTTGGGGTGCAGCTTCTGCGGGCGGTGCTTCCTCTGCTGCTGGTGCTGCTGGTGCTGCTGGCTCATCATCCTTGCCAACAGAGTTAACCATCTGAATCAGAGGTTGCTTCTTCTTATCGCTTCTGTTGCGTCCAAACCACCTCATCTTTGCTGAATGGTTTGCTACAGAGGGGCAAGATAACTAATAAATGACACAGCTACAGCTTGGGTAGCTAGTAGTAGATGTTCTCTGTATGTCTTACACTCAGTCCAGACCGAAACACAACACAAGAGAATAGAAGTTCTGTTGCGTGCGTTCAATGACCTGATGATATACCCTGCACGGACGAAACAAACAAGCTCGAGCTGACGAGGGATTGGCGGCGTCTCGGTCCAAAGGGCGATGGACAATGGCGATAGAGTTGGTGGGTTGTGGAATTGTGATACAGCGTACTCTAATGGAGGTGCAGCTCGCTGGAAGAAGTTGCATCGAACAATTTAATTAATGGTATTTGTGGGATTTAGAGATGTCGACTCGCAGATTGGATTCGTGGCTACTAACATTCGATACAACGCAGGACGTACTTACGAGATTCGGCGAGATACAACTTATATTCATCTTGAGGGATGAAGCTTTTGAATTGAACTGGCGCACTCGCAGGGGCTCGCAACCCCATGTTTGTGAGTTGCAGGAGTCTTAGTTACTGTATGCCTGCGGGGCGAAGCAGCTGATGGCAGCAGTGTCTCACATTATCTCTCAAAAACCGAACTTGGGTTTGCTTCTTTGTCACATCTTTCGCGAACACGAAGTTTGACACAATCACGAAGCCAAAGGCAACGGTACGGTACCGGTGGCAGAACGGGGTCCTCCTTGGTTTTGCTTTGTTTTCATCAGTGATTACTATGCTCTCTACGATACATCCACTGCAGCCACAGTTACTGTAGGGGTACTGCTATCTATCAATTTGACCATACTATTTTAACTGTACCTTTCGAAACATGCAGGTACTCTAGCTAGCTTTAGAAGCAGGAATATCGGCCACTGTTCAACTTTCCAAACTTATGGACACCTTTTTTTAAAAAATTAGTCCGTCTCCCAAGTTTCGGTGGATATGCCGCAATGCTCCAAGCAAGCCAGCAGCTGTTACTAGCTACTAGGCTAGTGCACTCCCCCCCGCTTCTTGTGATGGAGTCCTTCATGAGCCGTCCCATGCTGCTGTCGATTGAAACTTTCTCGTTCAATCCTCAATGCAGTGGCTCGAGGACTAGTGGACTTTCGAACTGTGGTGGTGACTCTTTGTGGTTTGCAAAGAAAGGCTCCCATGATATTATAAATGTTCGAGGTGATTTGGGTATCGCTGTAGGGATGTATATATATGCTTCAGCAATGATACCGGTATGAGTGATCTTCTTGCTTCGTTGCCTTTGGAATCCTGAAACGTCTCGTTGGATGGAGAGAGTCGAGTCGAGTCTATAGTAGTCGGAGGGATTTTGAATGTTCTATTTATGCTCCTCTCTGCCTGAATATATGCTGTGGTTGGTTGCTTGTTTTTTTCTGCCTGCTTCTGGGGATGCGTTGCCTGCCGTATGAAACCGGTTTCTTCTTTGGTTCTTCTGTTGCCTTTTTTGTGGTTGTTGTTGAAAAATGTAATTCAATTCACACAAAAGAACTTGAGAGGGTTCCCCACTCTTCCGTTTTGCTCTTGTCGGAGTGAGAGCTTCGGAGTGCCAAAATCGGCGTTCGCTTCCGCATTATTTAAAATCCTCATCTCTAATGAGGTACACCGCGCAATTTCTCACATCAACACCCCAACCAACACCACAACCAACACCAGGCGTCTTGGGTATGTTAGTTAGTATCGCAGGAAACTCCCTAGCTAACTCACACTCTTGCCTTCTAGCTAGTGCCGTGTGGTGGGCATCCTGTTGTTAGGGCGGCTGAGGAGCGATTGAATAGATATCATTCCGTTGGGATTTGCGAACGGAGGCCGATGTGCAGTACGATGTAGACATGGGATGACACAAAAGAATAAGCTAAAAATTAAAAGGGGATTCTACGTCTACCTCGTTCTAGTGAGTCCCGGGAGGTTCACCTCGTGATTGCCAACCACCAGCTGGTTTTGGCTCCTCTCGCACTCCCTCTTGAACCGAACGGGGTAGCAAATTTTGTACCGTAGTCCTCTTTGCTGCACAACGATGTCAAACTCTAAACAAACACAAACATGCAATGTAGTGGTAGTGGCTCCATCTCTTGTATTTTCGTAGATCAACCTCGTCCTCGTTTAATTCTCGCTCTCGTGCTCGTCCTCGTCTTCGTCCTGTTCCTCTTCTTCAGTCATTGTCAGTGTCAACTTCAATGAATGGCCGCTCAGGGTCGTTCCATTCATAATCATTCTCCGAGGCGGCGTATCACGTCCCGTCCTCCTGGTAGAGCACCTTGCGCTGTTCATCAATGGTGAGACCCCAAAGTTTAACTCCCGTGCGCATGAAATGCTGGAGACAAGTTCGACGTTTCGTGACAGAAGGGATACGAGTCTTGTACACAGTGTCTTTCATGAAAGCCACTAGCTTGGAAATGAGCGCGGAGCGACCTCCAATTTTGTTCTCGATGTCGAGTCCGCTCAGACCACGATCTTCGACCTGGTGGTTTGTAAGGAAGTCCGTGAACCAACGCTTTCCGACCATCTCGACTGTGAGGTTGCAACTGCTATCTTGAGCTGGACGGCATCGAACTAAAACAACAGGCTTGTCGGTATCGAGCTTCGAGCTGTCATTCCCGGCAGGCTTGCTTTCTTGTTTGATCGCTACGGCAGTTCCAGCTCTAGTTGTCTTAGGGACCTTCTTGGAAGTGGCGGCGACGGCTTCCACGACGCTGGTTTAGGAGACCGAGTCGTCGTTGGTGGATGCTGCTGAAGTATCTGCGACTGCAGCAGCTGAATTGGCGACATGAGTGAACAGACCAGGCATGGCTGGTTGGCATGGTCGAGGAGCATGTTGACGGCAGGGTCTTTTAGCAACGTTCCCACGTCAACATTGTCAGCAGGGTCGGCCCTTGCAACAGGGGTAACCGCGGTTGGCTTCAAGGTAGCTTGATTCTTCCCAGCTGCTTTCTTTACGGTAGCCTTCTTGGGATCTGGCTTCTTCGGAGGAGCTTCAGCATCAACTGGAACTTGCTTGGGAGTACTCACAAGCACCTTGCGACGTTTCTTCTTGTTGCTTTGGGTGTTCTTTCCGGTGCGCTTCATGGTCGATCTCAAGATGGAGTAGATATGCAACAGATAATAAAATGCAGGGTGTGTGCAGCTCGTGGTCGTAGCAGTCCTTCTATTGTAGGTCCACTTCGATTTTGTGAGCCTTCAAATCAAGTTGTTGTTGTTGAGCTCCCTCTGGAGCGAAACCCACTTCGCAAAAACGGTGTTGATTGGCGTGGTTTCTCAGCGTGGTAGTTTTCGACGTCAAGATGGAAATCAACTTTTACGCTAGCAACGACTCCGCCTTTGAATTTGGAAACAATACAGCGTGTGCTTGGTCATAACTCTGCGCGCGCGACGTGTGAGCCCCATTGAAAGAAACAGGTGACGGAATTATTTTGGAATTTTCCTCTTTTTCTTTTCATTTTTTTTTTTTTTTTTTCTCCTTCTTTTTTTCTTTTTCGACAACTCCAACTCTACCAAATATTGCGTCACGCAAGGGACTCCAACGTCACCATGTCACGTCGCGCGCGATCTCCACGCTGTAATTTTCAAATTCAAGTGTTGCTAGCGCAAAAAGTTGATTTCATCTGGACGTCGAAAACAACCACGCTGAGAAACACACCAATCAACACCGTTTTTGCGAAGTGGTTTTCGCTCCAGAGGAGTCAACAACAACAAATTGATTTGAAGGCTCACAAAATCGAAGTGGACCTACAATAGAAGGACTGCTACACCACGAGCTGCACACACCCTGATTTTATTATCTGTTGCATATCTACTTCCATTTGAGATCACCATGAAGCGCACCGGAAGAACAACCAAAGCAACAAAAGACCGTCGCAAGGTGCTTGTGGGTACTCCCAAGCAAGTTCCAGTTGCTGCTGAAGCTCCTCCGAAGAAGCCAGCTCCAAGAAGGCTACCGTGAAGAAAGCAGCTGGGAAGAAAAGCTACCTTGAAGCCAAACGCGGTTACCCCTGTTGCAAAGCCGACCCTGCTGACAAGGTGACGTGGGAACGTTGCTAAAAACCCTGCCGTCAACAAGCTCCTCACCATGCTAACCAACCAGCCTGGTCTGTTCACTCAGGTCGCCAATTCGAGCTGCTGCAGTCGCGCGACACTTCAGCAGCATCAAACACACGACGACTCGGTCCCGGAAAACCAGCGTCGTGGAAGTCGTCGCCTGCCACTTCAAGAAGGTCCCCAAGACAACTCAGAGCTGGAAACTGCCGTCGCGAATCAACACAAGAAAAGCAAGCCTGCCGGAATGAGAAGCTCGAAGCTCGGATACCGACAAGCCGTTGTTCTAGTTCGATGCCGTCCAGCTCAGATAGCAGTCGCAACCTCACAGTCGAGATGGTCGGGAAAGCGTTGGTTCACGGACTTCTACAACCCACCAGGTCGAAATCGTGGTCTGAGCGGACTCGACATCGAGACCAAAAATTGGAGGTCGCTCCGCGCTATTTCCAAGCTAGTGGCTTTATGAAAGACACTGTGTACAAACTCGTATCCCTTCTGTCAGAAACGTCGAACTTGTCTCAGCATTTCATGCGCACGGAGTTCAACTTTGGGGTCTACCATTGAAGAACAGCGCAAGTGCTCTCCCAGGAGGACGGGACGTGCTACGCCGCTCGGAGAATGACTATGAATGGAACGACCCTGAGCAGCCATTCATTGAAGTTGACGACGACAATGATGAAGAAGAGGAGCAGGACGAAGACGAGGAGAGCACGAGAGCGAGAATTAAACGAGGACGAGGTGATCTACGAAAATACAAGATGGAGCCACTACCACACATTGCATGTTTGTGTTTGTTTAGAGTTGACATCGTTGTGCAGCAAAGAGGACTACGGTACAAAATTTGCTACCCGTTCGGTTCAAGAGGGAGTGCGAGAGGAGCCAAACCAGTCGGTGGTTGGCAATCACGAGGTGAACCTCCCGGGACTCCTAGAACGAGGTAGACGTAGAATCCCTTTTAATTTTTAGCTTATTCTTTTGTGTCATCCCATGTCTACATCGTACTGCAATCGGCCTCCGTTCGCAAATCCCAACGGAATGATATCTATTCAATCGCTCCTCAGCCGCCCTAACAACAGGATGCCCACCACACGGCACTAGCTAGAAGGCAAGAGTGTGAGTTAGCTAGGGAGTTTCCTGCGATACTAACTAACATACCCAAGACGCCTGGTGTGTGTGTGGTGTTGGTTGGGGTGTTGATGTGAGAATTGCGCGGTGTACCTCATTAAGATGAGGATTTTAAATAATGCGGAAGCGAACGCCGATTTTGGCACTCCGGCTCTCACTCCGACAGAGCAAAACGGAAGAGTGGGGAACCCTCTCAAGTTCTTTTGTGTGATTGAATTACATTTTTCAACAACAACCAAAAAAAGGCAACAGAAGAACCAAAGAAGAAACCGGTTTCATACGGCAGGCAACGCATCCCCAGAGCAGGCAGAAAAAAACAAGCAACCAACCACAGCATATATTCAGGCAGAGAGGAGCATAAATAGAACATTCAAAATCCCTCCGACTACTATAGACTCGACTCGACTCTCTCCATCCACGAGACGTTTCAGGATTCCAAAGGCAACGAAGCAAGAAGATCACTCATACCGGTATCATTGCTGAAGCATATATATACATCCCTACAGCGATACCCAAATCACCTCGAACATTTATAATATCATGGGAGCCTTTCTTTGCAAACCACAAAGAGTCACCACCACAGTTCGAAAGTCCACTAGTCCTCGAGCCACTGCATTGAGGATTGAACGAGAAAGTTTCAATCGACAGCAGCATGGGACGGCTCATGAAGGACTCCATCACAAGAAGCGGGGGGGAGTGCACTAGCCTAGTAGCTAGTAACAGCTGCTGGCTTGCTTGGAGCATTGCGGCATATCCACCGAAACTTGGGAGACGGACTAATTTTTTAAAAAAAGGTGTCCATAAGTTTGGAAAGTTGAACAGTGGCCGATATTCCTGCTTCTAAAGCTAGCTAGAGTACCTGCATGTTTCGAAAGGTACAGTAAAATAGTATGGTCAAATTGATAGATAGCAGTACCCCTACAGTAACTGTGGCTGCAGTGGATGTATCGTAGAGAGCATAGTAATCACTGATGAAAACAAAGCAAAACCAAGGAGGACCCCGTTCTGCCACCGGTACCGTACCGTTGCTTGCTTCGTGATTGTGTCCAACTTCGTGTTCGCGAAAGATGTGACAAAGAAGCAAACCCAAGTTCGGTTTTTGAGAGATAATGTGAGACACTGCTGCCATCAGCTGCTTCGCCCCGCAGGCATACAGTAACTAAGACTCCTGCAACTCACAAACATGGGGTTGCGAGCCCCTGCGAGTGCGCCAGTTCAATTCAAAAGCTTCATCCCTCAAGATGAATATAAGTTGTATCTCGCCGAATCTCGTAAGTACGTCCTGCGTTGTATCGAATGTTAGTAGCCACGAATCCAATCTGCGAGTCGACATCTCTAAATCCCACAAATACCATTAATTAAATTGTTCGATGCAACTTCTTCCAGCGAGCTGCACCTCCATTAGAGTACGCTGTATCACAATTCCACAACCCACCAACTCTATCGCCATTGTCCATCGCCCTTTGGACCGAGACGCCGCCAATCCCTCGTCAGCTCGAGCTTGTTTGTTTCGTCCGTGCAGGGTATATCATCAGGTCATTGAACGCACGCAACAGAACTTCTATTCTCTTGTGTTGTGTTTCGGTCTGGACTGAGTGTAAGACATACAGAGAACATCTACTACTAGCTACCCAAGCTGTAGCTGTGTCATTTATTAGTTATCTTGCCCCTCTGTAGCAAACCATTCAGCAAAGATGAGGTGGTTTGGACGCAACAGAAGCGATAAGAAGAAGCAACCTCTGATTCAGATGGTTAACTCTGTTGGCAAGGATGATGAGCCACAGCACCAGCAGCACCAGCAGCAGAAGAAGCACCGCCCGCAGAAGCTGCACCCCAACAAGACCCCCCTGGAACTGCCACGGCTCCACCAGCCGACGCCAATCCACCCCCTACAAACCCTGAAGCTGCTGCTGCTGCTGCTGCTGATACCCTGTACCACCCTAACTTCTGAGCTGGACTACAACATCCCGGCAAAACGCGTTACTAGCGGAGAGCGCGAGATGATTCTACCCAAGCACTTGAAGAAGAACACGATGTCAACGATGATGGAAAAGACGCAAAGGCCAACAAGCAGGGTAACAGTGAACTTGGTGGAACTGACTACTTACCATTCGTCGACGTGCCAACAACATCGCAGGACGACTCCCACAGCACCGCCGTCATTTCGGCCATTTCCCTCAGTACCATTGGAGCTTCAATAGAGCGTGAACTGGAAGGGGCCAAGGGTCTCAAGGGCAAGCCTCCGCTGGAGATCAAGGCCAACACCCATCAAAGTGTCAAAAAGAAAGAGAATGTCGGTTACCTCCGACGAAACTTCCAAAAAGCTAACTTGGCTGTCAAGACAGCCGTGGTAAGCACACTCCCCAACAAGGTCGTCGATGGATTGGCATCTGCCTATGACACGATACATGCTCCCAGGAACAACAAAGACAAGAACCTGGATGACGTTCCTGTCACGGCACGAAAGTACCGACGAGATCACCCCGACTTGTTACTGCCCGGAAACGTTCCTCGAGTCGGCTTTACGGCTATTTTTGCTGCCATTCCCCTCTGGGTCAAGTACTTGGCGGTGGGTGCCGTGGCAGCCGCAGCTCTCACCGGCTTGGCATTGGAACTGGAACGACATCCCTTTGTTGTTCTGGGGATGCTCGGCAGAGGAATGAGTCTTCTTGGTTTCTGTAGG